AAATTGTTTCCGAGACTGATTTGAAGGACATTTTCGTAGTAGGACATCATTGTAGTCTTATAATGGAGTATAATGTTCTAGATTCTACACCTTCAATAGATTTTTATAGTTTTTATACTTCGCATATAATAGTAACCTCTAGAAACAAAATTTCCCAGAGACAAAGAGGGGGTGAAATGAACCAGATTCAGTGGTGAAACCAGTAAGGAGGCAACACTGGCCAGGTGGCAGTCAATCGATGAGCGCGCGGGCGCGGTGCGGGCGCGGTGCGGGCGCGGCGCGGGCGCGGCACATTCATGTCGCGGGAACAGCTGACGACCAGCCCGTAAACATGAATCGGCAGCCCCCGGCCCCGGCCCCTGCTGCGCCGCCCTCCCTGACCTACTGTGCGCACCGCGCAGGACGCCGCCCAGCCGCTCCGTGCAATGTACGAGTAAACTCACGGATACACTGCACCCGCTGGAACTATGTACTATAACAACATGTACCTAATATTTAAATGTAGTTATAATATTTTTTATGTTAACAAGCTTTTGTCAAATCATAATTTATCTTCTACCTGTTGTCATACTAAGAATTGTCACAAAATATACTCTAAATCACTTATTAAGTCAAGTATTTACAAAATTTATTGGAATTTCCGAATACAGTATGATCCAGCATTATATAAGTGATAACATATGCTGTATTTTTCTACTCGTACATATAATCTAGAATTCTCTGATTGTTTATATAAATTTTATTATTATATAGAGATTATTTATTCATAAAATCTTTTTATTAATTACTAGATGTAAGGACATTCTGACTGAGATTAGGAACACGTAATTTTAAACATATGTTCCTTTTATTACGTATTTATAATATTTCAAATTCAATATGAATTCTCGTAGAGACGATATAGAGATGAAAGACGTAGCACAGGTGCTACGCCCCACGTAGTCTCTCTTACTCTATTTACTTATTATTCAATACTTATGTTATAAAATATTCTTTAGTAACTAGGTAAAAAAGAAACGTCTCTTAAATAATTAATAATTCTTGGTCGTTTTATTTTTAATTCTTATATAGCGACTGGTTATGAAGCGTTACGTAACTACCAGTTGCGTAGCAAGATTATATAGCGTATATTTCCATTTAAAACGTGATCTTTATCTATTATTACGAAAGACCATGATGTTCATTTGTTTATTTTCACGTTTCTTTTTGAGAAAAAAATTAGGTGTAAGATTGAAAAATAAAATACGAACAATGTCTGTGTTTTTTTGTCATTTTATAATATAAACTATTAGAATATGATATCTAATATATTTTTTATAGAAAACACATGTTGTCGTCGATACAACAATCATCTTCTTACATTTAAAAACCGAAGTAATGTTGATAGTTTAAGTACTAAGATTCCATACAAATTCATTTATTTTTTCGTACTTACGTAAAATTTTCAAACATCAAATAATATGTATTGCTATTAACCGTATTGCCATAGATATAGATACTATTATTACATACATAAACACTTCTATAGTATTACTAAATATATTTAATTATGCTTTAAGTTCTTACTTTCTCCATCATATTCTGATTCTGATATCATATATTCATTCATTCTGAACTGGACGGTAGGGAAGAAAATTATAATACAAAAAATTTGACAATTATTAGCGGCTAAAATGTCCTACATGAATAATTGATTCATGTTCTGTATAATTAACTCATGAATCGCGGAGTCTGATATTAGAACTTAACAATTTTCAGTGTGTAATAGGAAGTGTTCGGCAAATTTACACCAAGTTTATGTCGACGTACATCCCCCTTGATTGATGGATGATTGACAGGTCCTCCCGTAAATCGGATTTTGTAATTTAGAAACAGTCGAGTGTAAATGAGCAGCTGTCAATATGGTGGGAACTTCTACTCTATTACGGGATAAGTCATTCAATAATTAATGAAACATTTGATTGGTTTGACAATTTATAGACTTTCGGCACATTTACCTAATATTAAATAAGCATTATTGTAAATAATAAATGTAAGGATTGTATAGACTTAATGAAAAACTCTGCCCTTTTTAAAAGGAATTATATATATAAGCATAATTTCATATTTGGAACTTACTATCCATGTAAAATTTAATTTATTGTTCTACCTATACACTTTATTTGGCTGTTCCCTGTTCTTTTTATACGACCGATGCAATGTTATGTTTACTCTAGTAAACCCAGAGTGAAAATTCATTACAATTTAAAACTTATATTTATACAGAATTATTTGGAAATACCTACTTAAAATTTTTCAATAACAGTTCTCTTAGATATATTGGATTTTGGAATATGGACGAAATTTAGGCCTCCCACCTCTTGTTGTACAATGTCACACTTTATCGACACCCTCCCGTCCTGAAGGTGAGACGAAATATGGATGGTCAATTAGGGTAAAACTCTATAGAACATACCTGTACAGAAACAATAAAAGTTGCTACATAATAGACCACTGATTACGCTGCTATAAAGTAATACCAGTTGAGTTTATTCGTCATATATACCAGGTTATCCGTCTAAAAGGAAGTTGTTAGTGACTATTATCAACTCTAAGGATCTACGTCGACAAACAAGCGGGGGCTTCATTAATTTTTCAAATGAAAAACACTACGAGCATGTATTACAACTGAATAGTCGGGAAACACGCCATCGCTTCCTACCTTCCGCAAGGAAATGCGTATTATAGGTAATTAAATTTTCAAACTACTTCAAAATGACGTGTTGTCAATTGCTATTTACACAAAAAGACGCAATTCGTACACTTTGTCAATTTTCAAAAGCCATAATAAAACAGCCCTTTGTAGGTACATATTTGACAATTTCTGGTTCTGATATACACCATGGACCATGGAAAAATCCTTAAAATATTACTTACGTCGATCACGTTTCTATGAAAGGTTAGAAGAAAATTACATATTACAGGTATTTTTTGTTATCGACCTATTTACGTGTAGTAGGTAGGTAGTAGGTAGTCATGTCCTGCGTATTTTGATTTTCGATTCTTATCTTTTTCATTTCCAGCTAAAATTATAACCCTGTCGCATGCTTAACTGAAATAAAAAATACTGCGCTGCATACATATATCATTTATTAAATACAAAACAGTCCCATTCAGTATGCATGTAACACGCGTTCGTAATCTGTAATTGAAAGCAACTCGCATTGGATTCGGGCCAGGAGCAACAGTTAGTTATGGGCCGACCGCTGCAATAGCAATGCCAGTTTTGGCACAATTTCCTTTTTAAATCATTCTATTATCTCAACGCGGCGTGCTTGTTTATGTTTGTGAAAACAGAACCAAATAATTGTATAACGTTGTTGCAACAGTTATTGTTATTTTAAAAGACTGAATTTGATAAAATCTGAGTAATGGAAAATGGTAAACCATTGCCTACAGTATTTCTGTCATTATTATGGATAAGATAAAGAATGAATACTTTAGGGGAAGTATGAAAGTGGAGACGTTGAAGAGTAATTGTCTGTCGTGGTATAGGCATGTAGGTAATGCGTAGAAATGAAGATGGTCATGAGGTCAGAGGAAGGCCGAAAAAGAGACACCACTTTCACCAATCCAGTTAGGGTGAACATATTCCAAAATCTGCATGAAACTAATCTACTTAATTATATTCTGGCAACTTTAAATAGTTTCTCATTTCCATCAAATTTAAGAACCGAATCATGTAACTACTAAAATATACACTGTTTTTTTATATTTGAACTGAATATATTTCGTTGCACAGTCCAACAGCTCAGACCTCTGTACTGAGAGTTCAGTATTAATCGACTGATACATTTTCACAGGCGGGTTATTCAAAGGATATATTATTATATATGTAGAGGCGTATTTAAACCACCTAATGTTAAAGTATAGCGAGCAAGGAGATTGGATGAAATGGCTCCATTGGTAATATTGTACCCCATATGGCGACCTCCACATGGTTCCTCATAGAAACCATCCTGGATAATTCCTGATGATTAGCTACCCAGATTTCATACTCATCCTATCTGGTTATGAACTGGTGCGCCGCCAGGTCATACTGTTAGCGTAGGCAGTTGCAACATAACATACCACTCTCGTCCACTAAGAGTACAATATACCTAATTGGTTTTAGAAGTCTCGTAGATATGTAGATGACAAAATAAATTTTAATTGTCATTTCCAATTCTTTTTACTAATACCACAGATAATATATTACATACTAATACGTACGTATTATAAGATAATATTACATGTAATATCTAAGAAGTACATTGAATAAAGCTTTTTTTCTTTAAGTTTATTTATATTACTTATTTATTTATACATTGTGTATTATTATTTAGATTCTTAATATTTATTATTTTTATTCCATTTCCGCTGTTTGACAAGTATGATAAGAGCTGATATTTGTGGGAAAATTCAGTTAGTGTTTTCGTTAGATTAATAATATTCCAGAATATAAGAAATTCGCTAAAATAATAAATAAGAATTGAAAAACTACAGGAAAGGGAATGTTTGGCTGGGCAGTATAAAGATTAGGTGAAGGAAGTGGATAGCCGAATATAAAGCTCCATTCTCCTTTCGTTTTCTTTGTAGTAATTACTATTTCATAAAAAACGCACTCCAATAACTATTCAATAAAGGTTAAAAAAAGCCATCATGTTCTGCATAATTATTTTATTGACAATTTGATTTAATTTAATAAATCCGTGAACAATTTTTGGAACGTTATTAGTTTTACAAAATAAAAGAAATATTTTTTCTCATTTGTGAAAATACGAGCATCACATGTCACTTAAAATTAAAGATGTACTTTTTAGTCTGTAGGTACGGTATTACAAGTAGGATGTGTCGCATTAAATACAATAAACACTATCGACATTCATTCATAGAGGACATAGTAATAAGTCTTTATTGTGCACAGATAACTAAAAAATATACCTTAGCAACTTATACCTGATGGTATAATCAAAGGCATTGCAACGAGGCAACTATTGACTTCGCCATATTTCGTTCGGTGTATTTGAATACAAAGAGCAAGGAGGCAGACCTACCTCTTTTGGATTATTTAGATTTTGTTTCTATCTAATCAAAAGTCAGTCGGAAATATGAAATGCATGCGAAATTTTTAAATGTCCGTCAGAACAAACGACTATTACTTTAACAAAATGGTCATAACAGTTTGGGTCACTACTACTATTAGTGTCAATGGTATACCACCTCTTCATAAGAAGCTAATTTGACAACATGACTCCTTGCATGTTATTTAGTACGTATGAATCCAGCGTGTACTAAATCGTGTTATCCAATTACTTCTACTACTATATGGAACGTTCACACATGTCATGAATCGTTAATATTTCTCTTCCCCAGTTCTGGCGGCATCGCCTTACTTAGCAAGGTGTATAATGGTTTCAAGAGAAAAATTTAATACTAAAATTACAGAATACGGACGAATAATACCTTAATTCCCCGTTACTGCTACGCACGAGTTTCGTGTTGATAAATGCGTACTTGTAAACGTATATTCCTGAATTTTTACGATTTGTTACGCTAACAAATCGTTCCAGTATTAGCCTATACAGATGCAAAAGAAATAACGTTTTGATAGAATTCACGATTTGTGTTAATATACGATTTGTCCATATGTGAAATTTAGACTTAATAACTTTGGCGTGTATGATCTAACAATATAACTGCAGATCTGCATAAATTTGTTCAGGTATGTACTAATCAAGAGTTTTCTTGCCGCTATTTTTACAATATATAGTATATTGTCTAATGTCCCACGCTTAAAAATAAATTACAATAACTAAAATTGCTTATAATTTTCGGAAATGAACGCTATAATTAAAATCCTAAAATAGTTTTTCCAATTTATACATTTTGAGTTAATGTACTTTATTAAAAAACGTGTAATGTGACGTCTCGCCACGATATGAACTCTTCAAAAATTCGTAACGTGTCAATATTTCCAATTGTACGAAACAGTACATAAGTTTTTTATGACATATAACTGTTACTTATGCTGTATTAAAATAGTATTCAAAATACTAGGCTCTGATATCCAACAGAATGTAATGTATGCGTACACCCAACACTATGTACCTAATGAGTGTATTAAAATAAGAAAAAAATTCTTAATTCATGTAAATATAACTTTGTGCCGCTACTGCTCCAGTGGTGGCATTTCTTTTAAGTGTATCCCTTTGTCAAGTGTCCTTCTCAAGCCAATTCTATATCATAGCGTTCTATATTTATTAATGGAACTATGTATAATGGAACACACTACTTATAATGGACAATCGAACGCTAAATGAACACAGAATAAAAAACACGGTTAGTAGTCGAGCGCCCACTCGTTCTCCTGGAGAAACGCGTCCACCACTTCCTTCATAGTGAAGTTGGGTATCAGTTGGTCGGCGGTTAACTTCACACGGGTCACAGGATCGAAGTGGCCGACACGCTAAAACAAAAAGAATTATCTTTACATAGAATAAATTAAAGTCGGTGTCGCTATTTTGCTGCTTCTGCTGTTTCGGTGCTGTGTTTAAAACTTATAAATTACGCTAACAGTTTTCATTCATCCGATTAAAAATTAAAGCCTTTTAGGCCGCTACTTTTTAAATATATATATACTACTCTACCTAAGACGTCGATTTCGCACCTGTACAATTTTTTGTTTGTAAACTGACTGGAATAAAACAAACATTATTTAAGTTAATCTTACCATAGTACAATTAATGAAAACCACACCTACGTCTTACGACTTTTCTGAGACTAGCATAATGTTATTATCAAAATAAAACCTGAGATTTACACTATATATACGCCTAGTGGTCACTCATAAAATCGCGTCTAGTATAAAAAACACAAATGCATAGACAAAAATTTTCTGTTTTAAATTGTTACAACCTTCCATAATACTTTTTATCATATCTCTTTCACGTACAGATAGAGATCATTTAGTTTTAACATAAATTAAAGTTAAATCCTTCACTCATAACGTCACACCCATAAACAGAAGTCTAACACGCGAATAAATAAATAAATGTAAGGAACAAGCACCTCTAAATGTTCTTCAATGTCTTTCCGCTCATAGGTAATTCCGCTAGGCGTGATGACAGGCTCGTTTAGTATTTCAAAGCTGATTTTCCCACATAAATAATCCGGTACGTCACGTTTCTGAAAATAAAAAATATTGGAAATAAGAATAATTCGTGAAGAAAAATATTTGTGCCACGTTTAACGAAAATTATATGGATAGAGAAGTATGAAACTAATCAGAGATTGCCGCTAATTTATTTATTTATTTAAACACGTAATATTGGACCTGAGATTTTATAAAATTGTGTTTTTGAAGGTAGAAGTTGTTGGTAAATTAATAAATACATATTTTAAGTCAAAGCTAATATTTTAAATTAGTATAAAGCTATGATATATATATAATTTAATATACAAAAAATATATACACTATCATGCAGTTGAATCGCACATATATAAACACAAAATATACACAATATTGTTTGTAGTTTTATTTAACAATAGAACCTAAATTCAAACTGTTTAAATTAATTATTGCAGAATTTCTAACATTCCTATGTTTAAAGTGAAAGAATCTACTACTTATCTAGGAAGATCTCCTGATAACCTATAGATATAAATAACACGATTATAACATACTACACCATTTTATATGACAGCTTCGGTGGTCTAGCGGTTTATTACGGTCAAACTGCTTTACGTCCGATGGTCGCGAGTTCGATTCCTCGCAAGGCACAAACATTTGTATCGGTTGTTTGTATCGGTCTAGGTATTTTCTATGTATATTATGCGTAAATTTACAAAAAAAAAATGTAAGTATTTCTCGGATTATTGATGTGATTGTATAGCAAATAACTCACCCTTCTTCTCTCGTCCATTTTTGAAAATAAATTGTTAAGCTCGCTAGTATAATTATTCTGTAAAAAAAAAGAAATGCACAGTGAGACTATGTTACTTAATAATTAGAGTAGAATAAACTTCGCATAAATAGCTGTTAAAATTGGGTATAAAAAAAATGAGAATGCCTAAGAACGGTAACGCTGGTGTATACATAAAATATTTATATAACATTACAAGGCCAACACTTACGCTATCTGAAATCTTGAGTGTGGGACTCAGATTAAATACCGAGCGGGACTTCCCAACGGTTTGCTGTCCCACTTACAATTATGTAAAGGAAAGTGATAGGAATTAAAATTTAACTTACACATTCTTCTTCAACTTTGCTTATTTGTGTATTATTTTCGTCTTCACTACTATTTTCTAATTTTATTGTTTCTATTCTACGCTGCAAATCTTCATTTATTAGCCTGAAAAACAATTAATAATCCTTAAAAAACAAATAACTAATAATAATAATAATCTCAGGACAACTCACACAGTGCCATCTAGACCCAAGTTAAGCTAGCTAAAGCTTGTGTTATGGGTACTAGATAACTGATACATATACATAGATTTTATTTTGTAAATACATACATATTATACATAGTAAACACCCAGACCGATACAAACAATCATACTCATGAATACAAACGTTTGTGCCGTGCGAGGAATCGAACCCGCGACCATCGGTCGTAAAGCGTTGTGCTAGACCGCTAGACCGCTAGACCACCGAGGTCGTCAAACCGTCGTCATTTTAATGATAAACATAATCACAGCTCATATTTTGTACAGTTGTGTTGTTAATTGTTACTACTTACATTGGTGACTTATTTTAAAATTTAACAATTGACTTGTTGTATGATCTTGGAGTAGAAAGATATTATGCAAAGTATCTCTATGATATTTTGCTATATATTTTTTGGAATAACTTTACATGAACTATGATACAAAAAAAAAAAAAATTTAAAATATCTCTGGGAAATGACATAGTACTGAGTAGTAGGAGTAGGTTTTCTAATATGTTGTACTTCTAATATAATCAACTTTATTATTTCATTAAAAGTAGATTACCAGAGGCTTCGTCACTTTTTGAGAGTAAACTTCAAAATATTTACTAAGCTTGCTGGCACTTCTGGTACGCTCCAAGTTTTAGCTCCCTCTACTAATTCACCACATTATCTTATTAGTTAAAGCCTTAAAAGATTGAACATTAGTAAAAAATTAATATTTTTTTACTATTGTTGCAGTTGTATAATTAATTATAATAATTACCAACCTATTTAAATAAGTCTGCAGTTCAATCTCCTGAGCTATCCTCTTTTCCTCCTGCACATTCCATCTCTTCTTCCTAGCAATACGTAGTTGTGCTGCTATATCGTCACCAAAGTTTAGTTTCTGCTCACGAGCCAAATCACTTGCTACAAAATGAGAATACAGTTCCTATACATATAGACAGTCACCAAAACTTTATATGAAAGAATTATATTTATCTGTTGTCAAACAATTGTGAAACAGTACAATACTACTTTTAGTTGAATTTTTAAATATTGCATAGTTACATGTAAGCCAAATATTTATAGAAATTATACATTGCAGTAAATACTTATATTTAATTTTTATTATACCATGTTGATGACAAACAAGCATACTGCCTAACTGGACTGGGTCATGTTGTCCTATGGATACCAGAAACACAAATTTAAGTCCAAAACTAAAAGACAATATTAAAAAAAATAATAAGTACAATATGTTTTATATGTATATATGGGTATTCAAAAACCCTTGACACATTTTAAAACACAAATAGGTATAATTATGATTAAATTCAAATTTGTCCTAACAAATTTGAATCATGATGTAATTTTTTAAAATGTTTTACAACATATAAATAAATAAATAATAACCTCTATGTAAATGTTTGATTGCTTCATCATAACACTCAAGTTCTACTAACGCTTGTCCAAGAAAGAAGTGCCCCTTCACTTGGTTATTGTCTATGTCAAGTGCTCGCCTACAATCCTGACATGTGGCTTCCCAGTGCTTCATCTTCAAATGGCATAGAGCACGATTTGTAAAGTATGTGGCTACAGATGGATTTTTTATCTGAAATACATTACATACATATCTTGATCATATAGCAGAACTAGTGTGGTTAGGGTAAAAAGAATCTATAGATTTAGATATTCAAGTTTCATTAATTTTGATAGCATGCTGTATATCAATCTTTTAAACAGATTTTATTGATACATAATATGTATTGACATTTTGACTATCATGATAATACACACACAATAATAAAACTAAGAAATTTCAAGAAATAAATAATTAATCAAAATTGAGTACAGTTAATCATGTGTCCAAACTTTCTTTAAGTGCTATCATAAACAAAAAAAAATAACTGATTAACAGAAACAAGTTATGTTGATAGATTAAAACAATTTACATTTTAAAATTACTTTTGTTCATGTATTTTTAGTTAATCTAGTTTTATGTATGAAAACATTTGTTTCACAAAAGTATTGCTATTATGCATATCTCATACAAAATACATTTCCTATATCTACTCAGCAGGTAAGATGCACATAAGATGAGCATACTTCTTTTATTTGTAAGTTGTTTATAGATAAATAGAACTGCCATCTTCGGAGATCTATTACTTGTCTTGCTTAGGGTTTGGGTACTTTCTGAGTCAAGAATAGAAAAAAAAATGTAGTAGAAGGGAACAAAGGTTATTATCTTCTCAGGATACAGAGTATACATATTATTTTATATGTGTATGAGTGGGCAAACACATATGATATAAAGTGGTGTTTCCTCTTCATTTTAGTAAAATCTGCTAATTTTATTTGGGCATAGGATTACATCTACTATGTAATTATTCAAATTGTATTATCTACTGATAGCCCAATCTTGACACATATTTTCTTTACTCAAGAACATCACTGTCTTAGAATTGAGATTATATACAGGCATTTTCTTCCAACAAATCAAGATTGCAGAGAATAAATGCTAAAAAGTAACATAATGTAGTGCTTCGCAAAGTGTGTGCAACTTCACACTCATTGTACCAAAAACGCTAATTAATGCTGCAAAAGAAATAGAAAAACAGAGAGCAGCCTCATTAACAATTGCTCCGAGAATTAATTTCTTGTACATATATAAATATATATGCAGAGAACATACCTTCTTTGTTCTCTACTTTTCTACAAATTGGTAACAATAATACAAACTACTTTATAAATATATACATATATATATATAATAATAAAATATTCATGTTTGGGTTTGGCACACCTCTAAATCTTCTGATTAAGTAGGTGTATCTCTAACACAAATAGTTTACATAACACTAGTGTGGTGCATATTATGTTACATGTAACTGTAGTATTCGCTTACTTCACATCTTTTGTACTTCAACAAAGCCATTAGGTAGATATGTTATCACATAACCAGCAATCGGCAGTGTCAGCTATTTACATGCACTGTTTATTCAAAGTAGGTATACAGTTCAATATGCCATTGTTACACTGTATGTTATTATTATTAGAATTTTAAATATCTAAGTATATATTCGTTTTTCTACAATTGTCCAGTCTTATAAAGACCAAGGAACCCAATCAAATACTTCAATAACATACTACCTCAAACTTACCTTCTAACAATGTAGAGTGAAAATAAAAAATGATTATAAACAGTATGTAATAAATTGGTTATTGTATACTCACTATTGCCTTTGTATAACAATTCATAGCATCTTCGAAACGTCTAAGGCTGAACAGCCTGTTTCCCTGTTCCTTTAACTCTTTGTCGGACAAATTCGCAGTTGAATACATATGCTTGCTCATTTTGGTTTTTTATCAATACTATTTATCTGAAGCTGTCGACTGATCTCATTATATTTAGATTAGAATAATCGAAACTACGACTTTATTTTGCTTCTAACTAAAATCGTATTTCTGACAATTATAACTTCTGCCTGCCTGCGTATTTTCTTTGCAGAAAAATAAAATAAACGAAGGGTAGCCAACTTCAAAAAACATTTACCCATAACTTCCTATCCACTTACATGTACATCTGAATTATGAATTTCCGCATGTACCTATAATGTAACAAATTTATAGTTGGTGAATAACGTAATTATTCACTATAAAATGCTTCTACACTGGTTTTACAGTGTTGAAGTTTTTCCGACCTTAAAAATAAGTGCGAGATTCAACATACATGTATGTTAAATCTCGCACACATATATATATATGGATAACTTTATATTACAATACATCCTCAGAACATTATCCAGTTGATCACTTTTACCTACCACCTGAAGTATTACTCGATAGTTACTTATACTTTTTACGAAATAAAATTACTAAGAATATCATATTTGTTGTGAATCTAGTTATTCCGAGTATAAAGTATTGCTGTGCTTGCGTTTTCTCCAAATTTAAAGGAAATGTGAAAAGTTGGAAACATTATTAAAAATATAAGTGTCAACATGACATCGATGACATTCATGAATACTTTTTTTTTAATAAATTTAACGGCTCGGAAACAAGTTTTTTGAATACGTTAGTGTATAAATATAATAGTATAAGGCCCTTGTTGATATAAAATGGATGCCTAATATGTTACACAATTATTCCGATTAAAAATTCCGGTAGTATCTACAGTATCACTATTCTATGCATTATCGTATAAGGTTTGGGTACATATTACATGTATTTTCACTTCAAAGCTACCGTTAGCTATCCTGCAGTATCATGATGCTAATATCGTGGATTTAGAAGCTGATCATTACCAAAGAAACAAGTGATTACCTATGACATGATAGGCTAACTAACTTACCTCTTTTCATCTTATCTTCATTCACTGGTGACTCCCAGCGAATGAGTACAATTAGAACACCATCCCGTTATAATTCAATACTGAAAAGACGCCAGGCCGCTTTTCACTTAGCGTACATAGGTTCAAATATGCTAAATATAAACTTATGCACGTATTGATTTCATCGCGTCATTAAGGCAATGCGCCTGACTAAACCATATAGGATATTATGATTACAGCCGTGGTATAATATGTAATTAAATACCCATACATAAGTAGCAATAACTCTCTGATATTAAATAGGATATGTGTGAATAAAAAAACAATCAAGTAGATAATCAATATACTTTGAATGTATATAATTTTATATCTGTGAATAGGAAATCTAAACTATTTTAAATTATACCACAAACAACTTATCGGTTATAATTTTTTTCATATCGGTAACTGGTAAGAAGGTATTTTGAAAACTGGGTAGAGACTAGAAAAATCTTTCGTCCAGAGACTGTAGCGTTTCACATCATGTTCCTTTGAGAAATTCATCACAGTCGCATTGGAGATGTTTTTCCTCGGCTTAGCAGACCCACTGTAAACATTCATAGTAATCAATAGGTATATTTTTATAATTATTTATTTATTGCTAAGAATATGGTATGTACAACGGCAGTAATCATATTAAAATAGGTTTCATCATATTCTGCTGATTCCAGCGTACAAATATTCATTAATACCTATATTATTATAATAATTTTAATGCTTGTATTAACATACAAGCATTAAAAATACTTACATTTGTATTATACTTACTAAAGTTAAATACTAATGTAAGTTAAACTTCATAAATACAGTGGGTATACTTTAGAACGTAAGTAATTAACAAATAAAATTCCTAAAATTTTTATATTCAAATAACTAGTCATAAAAAAGTAAAATATATATATTTTTAATAAATAACCCCTGGACAATTAACACAGCACCATCTAGTCCTACGGTAAGCAGAGTTTGTGTTACAGATACTGGTTACGTGATATACTGTAAATACTTAGATATTTTTTTTTGATTGATTGATTTTATGATAGAAGATACCCAGACTGATATACAATGATACTTATGAATACAAATGTTTGCACCGTGCGAGGAATCGAACACGCGATCATCGGAAGTAAAGCGGCGCCGCGGCGGCGTGCTAAACCGCTAGACCACCGAGGCTGTCGTTTTTGTATTTTTAGTTTGTAATGAACTTAAAAAAATCTTAACGAATCTAATAATATTTGCATCTATAAGCTCATATAATCTCGATACGGTGGGCACTTTACATTACATTACATTTACTTCATAATTTTTCTTTGAATATTTTCAAAACATAATGGAACATTATATTTCATAATCACTAGTCATGTAAGTGTATGATTTAAAAATTATTTAATACTCACGATGCAGCTGGATCTTTAAAAAGTGGCGGCTCCAGTGGTATTTCTAATTTTTCCTTCATTAGGGGACAAGGAAAATGCATGCCACCAAGTGATAGTATGCCCTCATCTAGTCCTTTGTTTTTCTGTAATTATGTTTTTTTTTATAAATAGAATATTTATCTCGATCGGTGTTGAATTACGAATCTCGATCGGTGTTGGATTAAAATTACAAAGAGCGAAATTGAGAGTTGACTTGTATTTTATAAAAAGAGAATGGAAATTTTATAGTGTAGAAAACCTCTTTCACTCTGCGAGTACCTAATATAAGTACAATAAAGTAAAACGGAATTCAGTCATCTTTGCTATAATTATATAATTATATTAATTCAGTAATTTCATATCTAACATAATAAATTCTAAGCGTCCTGTTTGCAGCAGTTCTAATTTTAAAAATATTTCTTTTTTCAAAATTAATGCCAATACGTTCTTTCTTGGTGGCCAGCATTGTCGAACGCCATTTGCTCATTTATTCCAAGTAAACAAGCCGGTGACACAACCGGTGATACAACTATTATTTACCTACTCAGTTTAATTCTTTAAAGTTATTTTTTGTTAATAGTTTAAGACCTTACATGTTGTTCATTGCTCCACAAATGCTCCACCTATCATAAATTTTAATAATTGTATTGACTGTGAACTTCTAAATATAATTCTATGGCTTTGGGATTGTGATTTAACACACCATTTCAATTCAGTCTCGGTACAATACATTTCTAAAAACAGAAAACTGCAGACTAATGCAAGCTTACATAGGCAACATAGCATTAGCCTGAACAATTTGTATGTTTTTTTTTAAATCTATTATACCGAGCAAATGGCAAACAACCTGAGTGATAACACTGATAACCATCGCCTATACCTATTATGTATACATCACGTTATCATGTGACACCCGCGATACCACTCATGCTTTCCATTCCAGAGGTTTAAGATGTCATGCTTCTAATATTGTAATGTTATATATTATATATTTAATATGGCATTCCCTATATTACATATGTAAAGGAAGGTGACGTAACCTTACGATTCTTATTAAGTTGAAGAAGGTTCTCGCACCATTTCCACATATTCTCGTCTGCAGCACCTCTTCTTTCCAATCGTTCTGTTAGCTCAGCCATATTCTTTATAGGTTTTGGTGCCTGTAATACAAATTGTTAGAAGCAGACAACAAATACTATGAATTATCAAGCAGAAGTAACTATCAGTTATCCATTAGCACGTATCTAGCAGTCTTGATCATACGCGTGGTTAATAATTCGTTATCTCGGTACCTAATTCCTTTAAAATATATTCGCTTTTGATGGTAAGGTTTGTTCCATTTGTATTAAAAACTACAAGACAGAATTGATTTGTGAATTCAATTATTTTCCAATGTAATATTTTAAATCCATCGTCATTGATAGTATTACGTGAAAATGTTATTTAGGAATATACTTGGCGCGCATACTAAGAAATTGGCGCGTAAATTTTTTAAATAGTATTTAAAAAATGAATGCGCGCCAATTCTTCTGTCAATCAAACTTTAATTAATATTTTAATGTTTATAGATTATTTTCGGGAATGGTTAAAAAATATTTCTTATAGAATCCCTTTCCCGCGCAAATATTTCAAAAGTTTGGCTGATTATAGACGTGTATGAAGCAGATAGTTATTATACAATTACAGTCAATGTTTATGTATATATGTACTCATTGTCAGTTAAATGTGAAATGTGAAAAATTAAGACAAATATCTGATTTTCGGTATTGCTAGTCATTACTCAAAACAAATTTAATAATTAATTTTTAAGAATTGTAGTTAATTATTCTAAATAATTAGTATAGAGTTGAAGGTGATGTCTATATATAGGGCTACACCTACATTTTTATTACTTATTGTCAGTTATTATACATGAGTTTGTACACTTGTTAAGTATAATGATCTCATTGTACCGCAACATCTATACTATTTTCAGTAATAGACAATGACTGTCTGAAATAATAAATTACGATTATACACGAACATTATAATTATACTGGTGGTCTAGCGGTTTAACTACTAACTTATTCCAATGGCGGGTTTGATCCCTCGCACGGTACAAACGATGTATTCATGGATATGACTGATTGTATTAATATGTATGTCTATATTATATAGGTCTATATACACAGAAAATATATATAATTATTTCTGTCAGTTTAGTAAGTAGCTATAACAAGTTCTACTACTAATTAGTAGAACTAACTAACTTGGAACTAGTGAATTTTCTTGAGTTATTATTATTTTTAACTATACATTTTATTGCACCAGCTACATAAAATAAATGATTAATTTAAATAATATATATATACATATATATATGCAATTGTAAGTACAAAAGACGGTCTTATCGCTGAGCATTCTCTTACAGACACAGCCCTGGATCTAGAGAGCGCAACACAGGGCTCATGCCCCGGGCGGCAAATTCTGGTGTCAGCAAATTCGGACTTGGCAGATGAATACACATCTCTCATTAATGACCATCTTTGACAATTGGACCTTAACGCCAAATAAATTCTTTGTGTTCATTGTATTTGATAATGCCACAATAATTAAACAACAACGCAATAAATTGTATTGTAATATGTATGTTGTAAAAATGTTGAGCGGGCTAGGGCGGGGGGAGTCCTAGGATGACGGCATTTTTTAGTTTTTGCCCCGCCTCGAAAGAATGTAGATCCGGTGCTGTACAGCCAACATGTGGACAGTGAAGATATGAGAAAAGAGTAGGTAGTAGTAGTAGTATTATTTTATATTCAAGAATTCTACCATATATACCATAATTGGTTTGTTCAGTTTATTAGACAAGAAATGTCTGAACGAAAAGGCACCGGTAGATTTCTCACTGGCTCTCAAACTTCGCTGTATTGTCCTAGTCTTCATTGACGGGCCGGTGCTAGTGACACCTTGCGAACTTGGGCCTGTTGGTTGAAATCCAATTTGGGCCAAAATTTCTATACTTGTGTCGTGGCGTATCATCAGATCCTTAGAATTTTAGAAGGAATATTACGGATTATGACTTAAAGAAGCCTCATCATTACCATAGGTATACCATACAAACTAAGAGTTGTTAGATTTAATTCTATTTTGGTCGAAATGTCTATCTATATGATACTTAGTATATATTGTCATAAATCAAACCGTTGAATTAGAAAAATATTATGGATATTGTCAAATATTTTAATCCTCGAAACAAATTCTACTACTGTAGTACTTTAACAGGGTGTTGCTCGCCAGTTCTCTTACTTGAACTCGGCTTTGACATGCTCCCGCGTGTCTAGATTTGTATATTATGATGGTGATTGATATACAAAAATATAGACTCGAAATCTTAATAAACTCGAAAGCTTTACATCAATATGTACAGGAGCACATGTTGATTACAAAGCTGTGTTTCGGTTTTAAGTGTTAGATGCCACTGCTGTCAGCGAAATTCCGAGGTACAGAAAAATTCTGCACACTCCAAAGAAAGAGCAGCACATGAGAAGAATTTATTTTGTTATATATTTTCATTCATTTAATTCATGTCGATCAATATCGAGGTTGCCAGAAAAGAAGTTGAAAATGGAAAAACATCATGTGTACCGCCAACTTCTTTTCTACTATATTTAAATAAAAATATTAATTATAGGGATACTTTTCGTATGTTCTGTAATCTGTAACCAGTAAAAAAACAGTAACCTCTAGCTTTTCTAGATCTGCTTTTAATTTCTGCCTAGCAGCAAGTTCAGCACGGTAATCCTCAATCAAGTATGCCCAGTATTTGTTGACACGAGCATAATCGGCTAGCTGAGAGCGAGGCAAATATGAAATGATTCTTTTGCCTATTGAAGATGGTAGAAGTTGAACCTGTAAAATGTTTTATTGCAAACATTGTTGACAACAATGATACACTAGTAGCCAGGCTTGCCTTACTTAGAACATATTATTTTGTATGAGTGTGTGTTTGCATGCAAGTTTACATTAATTTTTAGTTTCTGTTGCGTAAGTCCAGTGTCTCTTAAAACAACACAACTATACTATGCAAGAACTTCTTTTTTAGAACCATTACATGTGATTTTCATTCTTATAAAGACGGTGCCAACTTTTGACTTAACCCTAACTGCTTGCCGTGGCTTCGTTGGCTGTGAATTCAAAATATTAGTATGGATGCAGTGTTAAATTTGGTGTGGTTAAGATAGAAAGATAGATATACAGATATATATTTGACTAATTTTATTTTCATACTAACAATGTACAAATATAGGTACCCAAGGTTAATAAGCCATGTCGAATTGTAAACAAAATAAGCACTTACAAGTAGACCTACTTGTTGTGTTGTATGTAAATAAAATTAGATAAGTATTTCATTGTTGTTTGGCTTCAAATTAAAAATCGTTATTACATTATGAATTTACAATAAACGATTAACTGTTATGTAAGTATTTAGGAAATTTAGGTTTGTTAGGTAGTTTTTTATTTATTGTTAGAAAATCTAGGCATGGCCTAGCTTTTTGGTATAATTGTTTGTTTCTTTGAAGTATAATCACTTGTATATATTTTCTCATAGGTAATAGAAAAATATTCGTAAATAATATACAAATTACATACACAATTAAATAAGAAAAATTTCGGAAGTTTCAAACTCACAAAATCGACAGTTTCTATCCCTTCAGGCTTAGAACGATTCACCTTCCAAATTTTTCTCTTTGTTCCATCATTGTAAGTCATTTCTATTTCTTCTAATTTTAAATTATCACGCATTGATTTTATTGTTGCATTCCACGCAGTTAAATTAGCTTCTAGCTAAAATTAGATGAATGATACTTAATTAATACCAGGCACGAAAACTTATTTATATTTACAACTAGCTGTGTCCGCGACTTCATTCGCAGTATAGTGGCATTGCCCAAATAAAGAAAAAATATTCATTAATCTAACCCAAAGAAGGCAACGAAAAAACTTTCATCGTTCTAGTTTCAAAAATGACGATTTTACATACAAATATTTCATCTCCTTTTTTATTTTATTCCCTTAATTTTTACAAACTTTTATATCATATTTATTTATGTTTAATATTTTTTTTAAAATATAATTTTATGTCTTTTACGAACTTCTTTCTGGGCTTGACCAGGTCTCGGGGCCTCTTTCATCTGTTCAGGTGATGTACCTTTCTCTAAGTCATTAAAGGTCTCGAGTTTCTGGGCATTCTGCTGTTCTTTTTTACCCTAAAATAATAGGTATTACGATTAAAAAGGGTGAAAATAAAAAATAGTAAGATACAGACCCTGATAAATATAACCAAAAGGCGGGTCGTATACCCGATTTTTGGTTATGTTTAGCAGGGTACGCCGTGTAACATTAGAGATGTATGCGTTGATTACAAACAAGCTCATGGACCACCTGGTGATAATTAGAACCCATCTCTGGTATGTATATAATAATAATAATCTTAGGACAGTTCACACAGCGCCATCTAGACCCAAGTTAAGCTAGCTAAAGCTTGTGTTATGGGTACTAGATAACTGTTACAAATACATAGATTTTTTTCGTAAATACATACATATTATACATAGAAAATACCCAGACCGATACAAACAATTATACTCATGAATACAAATGTTTATGCCGTGCACAAATCGAACCCGCAACCATCGGACGTAAAGCAGTGTGCTAGAACGCTATACCACCGAGGTAGTATAGCACAGCGAATATTACGTCATCACAGAACGCGTGGTGCCCCTCATCTATTGTCATTCAGGAGGACTACACATGGGTCAGTATCCTATAGTTCACTGCCTTCAAACCCAACACAGATTAAGAAGCAAGCTGCTTGGACGCTGAAATAGCTGAGACAGAGGTGCCCACGAAGACGACTTTGTTGGTGCAAAGTCTACTCCTTTGTAATTATTTTATAAGCGGAATTTCGCGTTAAAGAAAGCAAAAAACTAAATAGAATACGTACAATTCTATTTAATTTTTTGCTGTCTTTTCTATTTCCATTTGTATTCTTAGTAATAATTATTAAATAATCTCTTTTATTTGTGTGTTTTATTGTTTTTATTCATTTTTATTTTAAGTCCACTGTAATTGAGTGTCGTGTTTTTGAGCATCTATCGAATAAATACCATTTCATTTCATATTGACCTTTTCTGGCAATGATTTCTGGTGCCCTTCCTCAGGTGGACGGTCATCGACCAATATACACTCCTGCAAACTCTGTAGCTGATCTGTGCGATACCGCTCATGAAGAAACTGTGCTCGTTTCAATACATCCCACATAACAGGCCCTCCGGACACATTAAGCAACTCGGAAAGAACTACCGCTTGTGCTTGCTGTTGATAATTTAAAAAATCATACCAATTTATATAATTAATATAATTTATTTATGTCTATACCAATATTATTTAATAGATGAATGATTAGTCTCTTTGTATGTTTGTATTAGATAAATTGAACAAAATACATCACCGATATCAAGCACACTTCCACATATTCATAGCTACATTATCGCAACTAGAATACGCATATACGTACATGAAATCTACGTGGGCATTGCCACAGAGTACAACTAAATAACTTACCTAATCCTTTACAAAATACTATAACATTCAAACAATTTGTTCTTTCTCATCTTCTGTTAACAAGAGCTAATTGATTTTATCCAAATATAACAATGAAAAGGTAAGTACACGTAATGACAGTTAATTAAAAAATATTTACAATTGACAATTTTACATAAACGTGCTAAATAAAAGGCATCGCTTAAAGCAATCTCTTTCTGACAACCAGGATGATCGAATCTTTGAGTAAAGAGAAACAGAGTTATAGAAACAGAAATAGATAATATACCAATACAAAATACATACATAACCTAATATATACATATAAAATTTCCCTATATAAAAAAATAAAATACATATACTTATAATAAATAAAATATATAACTTAAGGCGATGATTACCAGTTTTATTAAGTAGACTTGTTTGTCATTTCAATTTTTTTCAATATTCCAATTCTTTTGAGTATATCAAGTTCTTGGTACTGTTATTGTTAATCAATTAGCAACTGTGTGTTATTAATTAAAACTGATACAAATATTTTAATTCTACACAACCATCGATAACGTACTGAGTCAAGTGTGAGAAACCAAACGCGATCGTACTTCATGACCTGGGCAAGAGTGGGTGCCGGTTGAGCTGTTCTGTTGTGATCCAATGGCACTTGGTCGTAACTGCTCCACGCATTGCGGCTATAACATAATGAGAAAAATCTGTCAAATAATCATATTATTAGGTATAAAAATAATCATTAATAATTTATCAGAAAATAGCAATATCAAGAATAGTTGAGCCCGTCCAAAGTAGGGGCCTATCGCCAGATATCTCTATAAGTAGGTATATTATAAAATCACAAAATAGTGACGAAGCAAAAAGAGTTTATCTCTGCGTGTGTTAAGTTTTTGTTTAAAAACGGCTGGAGGAATTAGCATGAAATTTACACAATATTTTTTATTATTAGTTTGGGCCAATATGTAAAGAAAGTACAGTAAGAGTAAAATAAGTTTATGAATTGTTACCTAACTTAATTATAATAAATAATAGATGGTGCCATATGTAACTTTTTTAGTTTAATTTTTTATTAAGAGATAAAAAGACGCGGGAACCACTGGTACCTAATAAACAAAGTGATTATTATACTCACACGGTAACAGACATAACCGCGTCCTTTGGGCGACAGTTCCATATCGACTTCAGAAGTAACGAGAGTGTCCATGCGCTTCGTACATCTTCTAAAAGTGCCAGGACGTATCGTTTCTTATTCGCGCAAGATATCCTGGCAAACCAGTATTTCGTCGACAGCAGGTGCTTGCTAAAGCTTAGCGCCTCGTTAGTTCCTTTGTCTTCTATAATAAAATAAAAATACTAAATATATATAGGTATACAACTAATGGGAACAGTATCCTCGCCTGACGGTTTGAAAGAATTTTAAAACAATAATAAACAACAAATGATGCTATAGTTTTGGATTGAACGCGTTAATCTCAGACTTCACTAGTCGTATACTCTATCTATATATGTTTTATAAGGAAATATATATTATGTGTACTACAGTTATAGGTACATCAATGGAATCACTTACCATAAATCATATCAGATAATATCAGGTCGTTAATTAAATGTATTTGTTTAGTTAAATCTGCAAAAGTGTTCATTATATTAAATATATTACAAATAAAAATTAATATTTTTTACCGTATTAAACATAGATGACTTTGTCACTTTTTAGTAGTTGTCATTTATCTAATACATGTAAAATTTTACGGCAAACGATTTCTTGACTAATAAATAAAAATAAAAGTCCAGAAAATATATTGTCAATCCACCGCAGTTTCATTCAATACTTTATTGTGTCCATACATGTCCCTTACGGTATAGGCAGAAAAATTCTATTATCTATACAGTAATTTATCTTTAGAATTCTTGCTAAATCCTCTCCAAAACAATCAATTAAGACTGAAACTGTACGTACAAATAAATTTATTATTTTCCTGTATAATCTTGCAATTTGCCTATCAACCTCATTGCATGGTTAACAATGTAATAACAACTACATAAACATGTTCCAGTTACGAATATCCGTCGAGATGACGTTGTCAGTCCGAAGCTGCCATGCCGCGAGTAGACACGCGATGTCCTCCACGAGCACTATCTGTTAAACCAAGTAAAAGCTCAAACTTCTGGCGATTCATCTCAGTCGTCGCCATAGCTGCTTTCCTCGTCGCCACATATTTCGTTTTAAAGAAACCAGATTCTTTAGGAGACCCCTCGGATCAGTTTGTCGTTAAAAAAATTCCTAAAATCTACACGAAGTTGGAAGGTGTCGATCCTGAAGAACGTGATGTGTTTCAAGGTTTCCGTACATCGTTCCTACCACCAGAGGAGATAGTTCTTGCTAGAACCAATTCGAAGGCTGCAAGTGAAATTTATGAGGGCAATGTAACTAGTGATATCTTTATTTGGGAGAGTTCAGATGAAGAACACGCTACGCCTACAAGAGTTAAGCGTAAAAGTCATTTTACTCTTACTTCAGAAGACGAGAAGTAAGTCATACAAAGTTAATATATTTTTTGATAAAACTTATATATAGGTATATCATGGCACAACAAACTTGATACATATATACTTGCAATTGTTTTAATTATTTTTCACAGCCAAGAAAATTTGTCACATCATAAACCTAAAGACGAAGGTAATGAAAATTATGACGATGGCAACAGTAATGAAAGCGAAGTCGAAGACGAATACAATTCTTCTGATTCAAGTGATCAGTACGACGATGATGAAAATATGGAAAGGTATGAGGGGTATTCAATTTTGCACTAAATAAAAATAAATATCTGGTTAGACAGGTAGAAGAAAGGAAAGACACCATAACACTAATAGCGTCGTAGTCTAATATAAATACCGTATGCTAATCATTCAATTATACCGAATTATATAAACACGTAAATTGATTAAATAGATTCATTATTTCAAATTTCACAGTATAATACCTCCAGAAACACACGTGGATCGTGGACCTCTGGATGACGTGGTAGAGCAAGTGCGTGGACAACCAGAATTAGAAGAAGAGGAGATGGGTGCTTCTGCAAATATTTATAAACCAGCGAGATCATATACAGGTATGATGGAAACATTGTGAATGTAGTATAGAAACTATTAATCTTTATACAGATTAAGATAGTTGACCCATTTGTAAACTGAATCATTGTCATACACAGTATGATTGTACGTAAATAGATATTTATGTAGAATAGGATAATGGCTCATACGTCGTAATCCGCTTATTCAATTGACTACAATTCTATACAAGTCAAGGTTACGTTTACTAGTGAATCTTTAATTTTGTAAAGTTCTCACTGTACTAATGTCGTAAACATATACGGTATATTATTTATTTGTCACAGGAATACATGCATTTTGGAAAGGACAGGGAGACAAACACACCATTAGAAATACCCAAGCAAATATAATGAGGCAATATATGGATGCAGAAGCCGATCCTTGTCATGATTTTTATCAATATGCTTGTGGAAACTGGGCTGCATCAAATCCAATACCTGCTGATAAGGCCGGGTAAATATTAAAAACAATGAATTAGTCCTTATATACATATATGTTATTTTCCTAGGGGTATTCTTAGGGTTGTTCTGTGTAATTATCATTATTAAATATTATCTTTAATATCTTGCAGTTATGATACATTTGAAATGTTAAGAGAAAATTTGGATACAGTGTTAAAAGAATTGTTAGAATTTAAATCTAACGACCATATTACTAGTAAATATCCAGGCGCTAATTTAGATGTCGATGATAGCTTCATAACTAAAATACTACCACCTGATGACAGCGATCCATTAGAAACAAATAATTTATTAAAAGATATAGTTATTACCGTTTCGGGTAAAAAATTGAACAAAACTGCAATAGAAGAACATTACTATAATACAAACGAAAAATCTGATATAGTGGATCGTATTCGTAGATATTTAGACAAAAAATCACGAAAAATCATAAAACCAATGTCTAATGTCAAAAATAAATTTCGCCATTATCTTTCAAATGATAAAAAACAACATCAAGAGAGATTAAAAAAAATCAATATGTATATTCAAGACAGGCTCCGTGAAAGGCGAGAACTTTCAAGACAATACATAGTTAAAACTAGGTATGGAAGGAAACTCTTAATGCATAATACACTTTTAAAAAGAACTATAAAACGCGAAGCAGCTACTAACGGTAAAGTAATGACTTATAATGACCCAGCCAATGGAGATGCTGCATTGAAAGCTAGGTTCTTATTCAAATCTTGTATGAACTATGGAATCTTACAAAAAAGGGGCCATAAACCACTTTTAGATTTATTGGAACTTTTGGGTGGTTGGCCAATATTGAACCCACAATGGAATGATACAAATTTTGACTGGTTGGAATTAATGGCAAAGTTACGATTATATAACAATGATATTTTAATATCAGAATGGGTTGGGCCGGATATTAAAAATTCAGATGAATTTGTTATCCAATTTGATCAAACTAGCTTAGGTAAACAAATACAATTAAACAATATATTCGTTATTACTTTTAATTTATATTTTATTTAAACTTACATTTTTGTAGGTTTACCAACCAGAGATTATTTTCTTCAAGATGCAAACAAAGTTTATTTAGAAGCTTATAAAACTTATCTTACTAAGATAGCACTTTTACTTGGCGGAGATCCTGTGCATGTGAAGTTAAACACGGATGAACTCATTCAGTTTGAAATCAAGTGAGATATAATATTTCGTTAAATTTACATTAGCTTAGATCCACTTTGTGCAAGCATTAAAAAAAATACATTTTGCCAGGTTAGCTAAAATAACTTCAGCGCCAGAAGACAGACGTAATGTTTCAGAATTGTATAAACGGATGCCTCTTCACAAATTAGAAGAATTAGTTCCAGAGATCAAATGGAGACGATATCTATGTATTGTAATGAACCGGACAGTACAACTTGATGAAACTGTTGTATTATTTGCACTTAATTATGTCAGGGTATACCTACCTACCTTTTTTCATTAATTATAATCAGATGTCATTCTCAATGTTTCCATCATGCTTAACTGAAAAAACACTTATTCTTAATCTCATATTTCTTTCTTACACAATGCCATAATTAATACTTTAATAAATGTGACCTTAAGTTACAGACCCTAATGTTACCCCATATACACATTTAAATTTATTTACAGTACTTATAACAATTCTAACACATAATTTTCGTTGGATGATATTTTTGTTGTTATTTTACAGCATTTGGTTCAATTGATAAAGGAGACGGAATCGAGCACTTTGTCAAATTATCTTCTGTGGCGATTTGTGAGACACAGGGTCAATAATCTGGACGACCGCTTTCAATCAGCTAAACAACAGTAAGATAGTATTATTTATTACATTATATTTATTGAACAAGGTCGTAAAGAAAAATAACACTCAAGAATAGTATTGTGACTAATTTAAACAATGGAAAAATATTTTTGTAACTGTGTAAGAGAACTAATTAACTAACTACTAACTACGATTTCGACTTTCGCAGCAAACGTTTCATTCTAAAATCTTCTGCGTGGTAAAAATAATATAAATTGAAAATTATTTACAGATTTTACTTTATACTATTTGGTCGGGAACAAGCTCCTCCAAGATGGAAAAATTGTATATCCCAAGTAAACTCTAACATGGGTATGGCATTAGGATCAATGTTCGTAAGAAAGTATTTTGACGAGATGAGTAAAAATGATACATTAACAATGACCAGAGAAATACAGCAATCATTTAGAGAACTCCTTCATATGACTGACTGGATAGATGATAAGACAAAAAATTTAGCTGCTCATAAAGTAGATGCCATGATGCTTAGAATAGGGTATCCTGATTTTATTTTATATAAACAGGAACTGGATGATCGGTATAAGGAAGTAAAGATACATCCAGATAAATATTTTGAAAATATCCTAAATATATTAATACACCTTACAAAAATGGAACAGTCACGGTAAGTGATAATTGTTAAATACTCTAAATTTTGTAAAATATAGCTAAGTAGCTACATGTTAAGAATTATCTAATAAAAGCAATACAAGTATTGAATAAAATTGACAGTTATAATTTGAAAATGTAAAATATAATCAATATATATATAATAAAAGACTAATGTTCTTTCAATTCTGAACCAACTATGTAACTAAAGGTCAGGGAACTAAATCAAGTACCTTTGATTTATTCATATTTCAGCATAGGACAACCAGTAAACAAAACTTTATGGAATACAGCGCCAGCAGTTGTGAATGCTTACTATAGCCGTAACAAGAACCAGATTATGTTTCCAGCTGGCATTTTGCAACCTCCCTTCTACCACAGACACTTTCCGCGGTCTCTAAACTATGGTGGAATTGGAGTTGTCATTGGTATCTAACATATAATTAACTACATATATTGGACAGGCTTTAAAAAGCTTATTCTTGTAGGTATTGACTATATAACAGAGCATTTAATATGGTTAATAAACTAATTTATCTAAGGTCATAAATTATCCGTGCGGACATTGAATGTAAATTGATACACAAAACACCAGAATAAAATTAATCTGCAGTAACCTACTTCACAGTTATATTAAATATTCTCTAAATTTACTAAGCTAATAGTATGTATTCATAATAATCCTTATGGCTAATTAATTAATGATCAAAACTAAACAACATAGGCATTCAATTGGTTTATAGATACAGGCATTCAATGGAGGTTTATAGATGGAATGAACTTAAATATTGTAAGAAACTAAAGCATCTATTACTTAATACTTATTACCTACCGCCTATAAATCATTAAGATAAAACATTTGCATCATTTAATAATCACAGGACATGAAATAACTCACGGATTCGACGATAAAGGTCGCTTATTTGACAGTGATGGTAATCTCCATCGATGGTGGTCAGATTCAGCTATTGAAGCATTTCACCGTCGGGCCCAATGCCTCATAGATCAGTATGGGCAATATGTAGTACCAGAAGTTAATATGAAGCTTGATGGAGTAAATACACAGGTAAAAGATATGCTGTGTATTGATACTTTGGTCAGGAGAAATTCGCAAGATATAAGAGCATTAATTCTGTATAACTACAGATTGACTTGCAGATTAATTTAGGTTTTTGCGTATATAGCACTATATAATACATACAGTCAGTATAGGTAAACCATAAAAACTCTCCAACGTAGAGCCGACACCTTTTAGTACGACCGATTTATAATGCGCTATTAATTAGGCGCATTAATAATAAATTATGAATGCGCCGACTATTAATAAAGTATAACTTAAACATTTTTAAAGTATTTTCTACGATATTTCATGCCATTAAATATAATTTGCGTTCTAAAAAACAAACCTTTCATTGTAAAAGTTTAAGATTGTTATCTTTAGTAGGCAAAAAGTACATAAGAAATGTTTGTGGACAGTTGTATAAGACGATCTTTGGTGTGCACTCATTTGTTTATAAATCAGTTTTTTTACGTAAGTCCTAAATATTATCTAGTATAATAACCTAAATAATTATCTATATCATACTTATTTGACACTTCACATATTGTTATCATTTTTAGGGAGAAAACATAGCAGATAACGGTGGTGTAAAGCAAGCATTCAGAGCTTATCTACACTGGATTCAGAAACACGGTGCTGCTGATGAAACCTTACCAGGACTCAATCACACGCACACACAACTATTCTTTCTTAATTTTGCACAGGTAATAAAATTAAATATAATCTTCAAGACATTTCAGTCTGACAATGACGTGACACTCGTCTGGCCTCTTTTTTTGTCCGCAGTAAGACTATTTCTTCATATATATTTTAATTTACACAACGCATCCAGTCCTTAGCAGCTTCTAGTTATGTGATTATAGAAACAGTTAAATACATTATTGTAAATACTAATACAATACTGAAAATACCCTGACACTAATACAAACAATCATAATAATCTACATATAAATCAAATTGGAGAGTCTGTTTGTAATATTGAAATAACCGTTTTTAATATACTATGCATGTATATGAATATAAATACATACATATGAATTTAAATAATACATCAAAATAACATTCTTTACAATTTTTTTGTCTGTCTGTTTGTTCTGGCTAATCTCTGAAATAGCTGGACTGATTTTGACGGGACTTTTTTTGATGATGATGTTGAACTGATGTAATAAGGAGCAACTTAGACTACTTTTATTTAAAAAAAATCTTATTTTAGAAAAATAAAGTTAAACGCAGACGAAGTAGCGGGAACAGCTAATAAATGTATCAAACCCGCAATCTTATTTTAATTATTTATTTTAATATAGTTTTAACAATACTTTCACCCCAAACTTAGATTAAAAAACTGTGACTTCTGGCCTCCAACAAGAAAACTGTATGGTAAATATTTAAAACAAAATTAATCCAAGGGGTGAAATTTGGATTCGCTCCAAACCACACCACAGATCCTATACTAGTCTAAATGTGCACCTGTGCGTTTTTAATCTTAATTTTATGTAGGGACTTAATCATAAAATGATAATGCCAGTCCCGTAATACCTTATTACTATTATCATCTACTGTATAATATCTATTGGCATTGCTTCTAACAATTCTTGTGATGAAGTATTAAAATCTTGAAACATCTCGTTAACATAACGCCCTTGAAACCACTTATACGTTGCTATTCCAAAGGCCTCTATATCCTGTAATTCTACAATTGCAACACATATTACATCTCAAATAGACTAGACAGAGATTCTCATGCAGAGTTTGTACAGACTAGAGTTTTCCCATAATAAATTCTACTTGATTAGAGTTTATAATTGCCAGGTATGGTGCGGCGCAATGAGACCAGAGGCGATGCGGAACAAACTGAAGACAGCGGTGCATTCACCAGGAAGGTTTCGCGTTATAGGCACCCTCTCAAATTCCCACGACTTTGCAAGAGAGTTTAGTTGCCCGCCAGGTTCACCCATGAATCCCACAGATAAATGTACCGTATGGTGATTAAGATCTCAATTATTTGACCATTTAAATGATACAGGGTAGATTAACGTAAATACCTATGTAATTTTATAGTCATAAAGTTGTTTGTGGCACTTTTCGTGGCTTTGACTTTAGCCAAAGGATGATCTTCATGAAACGAAGTGCAAACTTATTTCTCCCTAATTTTATTGTAAGTACTATAATTTTCTTCTTATAAAACTTCAGTACATATAGATATAAACTTGATTTACGTTGCTTTGATATGATAATAATCACAATATTGATATACGGATTGCAATGAAATAAGTATAACGACTCAAAGAGACAATATTTGATTCATCATGGTGGTAAATTAAAAGCAAAAGATTGAGTTAAAGGGCCTTGCAATTGAAATAAATCTGATTCTCACTTATCTAACCAAAGTATAACGGAACTATCTGCTTAGTTTAAGAAAAGTAGCTAAGTTCTGAAGTTATCTGGAGAAAAAAATAAGATTATCAGTGTTACTATAATTAGAAATAATTTAAGAATTCAATCGTACATAATGGGTATGGAAGATAAGCAGATAGATAAGGGAGAGCACTAAGCTATTAAAAAATAGGAGTTATCAAAATTCTCAGACTCGAAATTGTTAAACATATCGTTGTGTTGTTACACATAAATTTGAACAACGTAAGTAGTGTTAGAAATAGAAATCGCAAGGAATTAAAGATGAGACATGTTAACATACATTCATTTTATTACCTACTTTTATAATAGAAGGGTTTTAAAAAAACTAAACCATGCCAAAGTAAAAATTTGTGATATATTTATAAATGTTATGTAATATAATTTATGTTAATTTCTAATTATGTACATTTTATTTTGTAATTAAGCATTTCAATAAAACATTATGATAAATTATTCTTTCTATTATAAATAAAAATATATATTTATAAAACATTTTTTTATTAATACAAATAGTTCACTGCATCAATTTGTACTTGTAATTTTTAATATTAAATCAGAAATCAGTAAGCACTTTTAATTTGGCAAGTCACAATATTAAATTAATGAAGATCAGAATCACACTAATTGCCTAATATATGTAATTTCGTACTTCAATGCTTTGCACGTCATCATTACTCCATAATGTTTCGACTTCATTTTTTGGATCTCGTGCTGTAATCGAGTCTCTACGTTCCCAGCGTAAGCAAACAAGCCTCGCGATCTCCAGCCAAAGACGTGCTTCCAACACTTGAAGAAAATAAAATAAATAAGCAGATCAAACAAGAGGTAGAGTACAAAAACTTTTGCGTGGGTCCTAACTCTCACCTATTTGAAAATTAAAAATTATTTAATGATTTATTCGTAGGACATTTTAGGCGTTTATGAACGTAATTTTTTTTATATATTATAGTATTTTGCCTACTGTCCAGTTCAGTATACAGATTCAATTGAGAAGAACTGGCAAGATGGTCAATTGAATTATTAATATTTAAAAAAAAAGCCATATTAATTCTTTTATCTGTCAAGGAGATTACGATGTGTTTCGGTTGTAGAATAATCTGCATTATGCAGTCGAATTATATAATATGATGCATGACATCTTAGTCCTCTAGAATGGCAACGTGAGTGAGTGTCACATGACAACGTGATGGCCGTAGTGCTATTAATATATAGGCGACCTTTTACCTTTAGGTGGACTGGTCAGCTTGTTTGCAATTCCAATTAAAATATATATTACCTATATTTATATTAAATATTTATAGGACCTTCGACTTCTTATACAAAACAATTTTTTATCACTATCCTTATTGTCCAGTTCTTCTGGGTTCTCAACCCCTCAAGGGTTAAGGGAACTGGCAAGAAACTGAGCACGTTCATTTTTTATATTATTATTATTTTGTAAATATCTTTTATTAATTCTCTATCTCGAATTCCCGAAACATGTAAATGAATATGACGACATCTAATTCAGTGTTACCATAGAATACTCATATGAGAGTTATTTATCTGACATGTTTTATTCAAGTAAATTAATATATTATATTTGATATTGTAAAAAATATCAATAGCCATTTCCGATCCGTCCAATTGAAGTGATGTACAAAAAAAAATTAAAACTATAGAGCTTTATATGTATGTATTCAGAGCTATTCGACAACTATATTTAAAATTTATAAACGACTATTTTGTATCTATGAGCTGTTTAAGATACGTAATAATCAAGAAATGTGGAGAGAATAAGGTTGAATCAAATGTACAAAATTACGTAGTGAAAATTTTCATAAGTCATTGATTTTGATATAAGTCCAAGAAACCATGTCTATATATTCGCACCTAATACGTAAATAATTCACGTCAGACAAGTCGTAAAATACAGAAACTCGACAGTCTACTGAAAAATAATGCTTCTCTGATTCTTCTTTCTCGTTCTTAAGAACGATGATATTCATAAGTGTATAATGAGCGACAATACTCACAAATATAAACTACGTTATTTTCTTAACTTCACTGTAGATTTATTCAGATTTAAAATATCTTCAAACAGTGTACTTGTTTACAGGGAAGAGTAACAGAAAAATTTAAGCTACTAGATATCTTCTATGAAATGTATATAATTACTTACAGAACAGAAATGAAAATGCAGTCAAAAATAATAAATTAACGTTTCCATTGATGACTGCCATTGTATATAGTAAGGCGCCAGCTGTTGGAGCTTGACGAAGGAACATACCCCGCAGTGTAGCACCCAACCATGGTAGGAACAGATACTCGCTGGCAGGTGGCCTCTGAAATTATAATAATAACCCTGAACTATTCACACAGCGCCATCTAGCACCAAGACCAGAGGTTGTGTTATGGGTACCATACAACTGATGGAGATACCGATACAGACAATAAAAATAGGTACAACAGACCGATACAAACAATTATACTTATGAATACAAATGTTTGCACCGTGCGAGTAATCGAACTCGCGACCTTCGGAACTAAAGCGGTGTGTTAAACCATTAGACCACTATTTACAAAAGTCGTACGTTAGACGCCGTATTTACAAACATATACGTATATAGTGTGCTAAAAGTTATCTACATGGATACCTCAAGCAACCTGTTTTGTCTCGGTTGAAAACGGTGTGTTTTTACGGGTCTCTATGTTCTTCCTGAGAGACGAGCGGGTACTATAGAACTCCTACTCTAGCCGTTTAGGATGAGTTAAGTGACAAACACACACTGTACAGTATGTTTTGTTTGGTATTCAGTTACGAAGATGGTATTACGTGACGTATTCCGGAATATCTATGTTTTTAATTTAGTACAGTAGGAAGTTTATTGTTAAATTCAAATATAGCTTCTGTGTCATCAAGGCAAGTTATTTCGTAACGTCTATGTCTATATCTATCTAAGTATACCATAAAATTATATAGATATAGACAGAATATTTGATAAACAAGTATATCAATTTTTATGTTGATAACACATATGTATAGTGATAAAATGACTTGCAATTTTGTTAATTGAATCACTCTGAATACTGGCTAATATTATTAAAATTTAACGAAAATGTATTGTTGGAGACTGTGATTTGTTTTTAATATAAGTGTAAAAATGAAAAGGTTTTCATCCATTCGGATCATATGAATATAGCTATCAACATAACAAGCAATTAATTCATAGATAATTTTTAATCTTACAGAAAATTATTATCTATGTTACCTACATAAAAGAAATTCACACTCCAGTTTGCTATACTAATATTACAAACTAAAAGCGTTTGTTTGTTTGTTTGATTTAACGTGCTAATTTTAATTCCAATTTTATTAGTGTTGGATAGCCGCACACATATGTACACATAGTACATAGTAATGTAAAGTTATCTTATTTGTGGTGCTACGCTATGACCAATATTTAACAAAGACAAAATTAAGCGTGTCAGTTTTTATAGACAGGTACTGATCAGATGCTATAAGTATATACTAACTAGGTATATATATATATATATATATATCTAATGGTTTATATAAAAAGTAGTTACCATCTATTAAAAAAATATATACATACAATACAACCCAGACGGAGACAAACAATCATACTTTAATACAAACCACCGTGTTTGCACCGTGCGAGGAGTCGAACCTGCGACCATAGCGAACTAAGTGATATGCTAAACCACTAGGCCACCGATGTCGTGACTGTTTAATTTTTGGCAATTGCGACTTATGTCGATAAAACGTGTATTATCACTTTCATGACAAAGCAACATTGTCAGTTATCTTTGAATATTTGTATATTAACTGACCAGTCATGATTGAGCAGGCGTAGTATAGTTAAGTAGGTACAATCATTGGAATAAGCAGTCTCACGTAAAATCGCAAATCGTACTTATATTTTATCACTTAATATAAAGTATACAGACTATAAATTGTCTAAATTATATTTAGGTAAGTAAAATGTTTATTAATATGTACTTGTGGTTGAAATTCGAGCATAATTAATTTAAATTATAGATTTGAATTTTCATTGCTATAATTATGTGTTCTTCTATTTATTTTTTGTCTCTCACTCCGACCCGTTAATGTTCCATGTCAAGGCATAATAAAAGTAAAAAAACTTTCATGAAATTACTGAAATCGAGAAGAGAAAAAGAATTTAGTGGTCAACACAATAATTCAAAATGATATTTGAACCAACAATAATAAATATATGATATTTTTAATTCAGATTATGTTATAAGAGTCATCTAACTGTGATAATATTATCAGCAGGAAAAACAAAGTCGAGAGTCAGCATCACACACACGAATTGTTGCATTATCAAAACCATCCTTATCATAGTAGATAGGAATATATATTTAATGTACACTTAAATGTTATAGTTCTCATTCTACTTTTCACGCTGTCACTGAAATAACCAAATATGGTGAAGGCACGAAAGTACGTTGTGACCAAAATTTTTCAAGGTCAACCTAAACGCAGCGATTATGAACTCGTCGAAGAAGAACTGCCTCCTTTAAAAGATGGAGAGGTCCTCGTCAAAGCTGAATGGATTAGCGTGGACCCATATCTTCGAGCTTACAATCGTGAATCACCGACACCATACGACCAATTCGGATTCCAAGTTGGCGTAGTTCAAGAATCCAAAGATCCCAAATATCCAGTTGGCTCTAGAGTAGTCAGCCATAAGGGTTGGCGCGATTACGTCATTTTAAACATGAGTGCACCATTTCCAAATCCTGCAACGAGACACTACAAATTGCCTGATATAGGCAATTTGTCACCTTCGCTAGCAGTTGGAGCAGTGGGAATGCCTGGAGCAACCGCGTACATATCATTTTTCGAAATCGGAAAACCGAAAGCTGGAGAAACGGTTGTTGTGACTGGTGCGGCTGGAGCAGTCGGTTCTTTGGTGGGCCAAATAGCAAAAATCAAAGGTTGCAATGTGATCGGCTTTACTGGATCTGATAAAAAGGCTCAATCTCTAAAGGAGGAACTAGGATTCGATGCAGCATATAACTACAGAACAGTGGATGTTAGGAAAGTATTAAAGGAAGCTGCACCAAATGGCGTAGACATCTATTTCGATAACGTTGGTGGAGAAATAAGCAGCACGATCATGTACCAGATGAATAACAAAGGAAGAGTTATTGTTGTTGGTAGTATTAGCGCGTATGACTCCGATCCCAGTGATTTACCGAAAGTAACTATATTGCAACCTGCGATTTTGTTCAAAGGGCTGAAAGTCGAGGCTTTCTTGATATGGAACTCGAGTCAGGATGAATGGAATAAAGCATTCGCTGACATCGTGAAGTGGATCCAGAGTGGACAGTTGAAAGCAAAGGAACATATCAGTGAAGGCTTCGACAATATATTTGACGTTTATATTGGTATGTTAACCGGTGATAATTATGGAAAAGCTGTTATTCGCGTTTAGACTTATTATTTAAAATTAATAGGAGAATTATTGTTTACTGTTATAATACTTTTACTACATTAATTGTATGAAAAAATTATGATTTTCACCAAATCATTTAATTATTTATTTTAATTAAAATCTTTATTGTACGTAAGTAATTGTAATTTATTTATATCTAAATTATATTTCAGTGGTGATTATTAAGAAAATACTGTAAACATGATCAATCAATTAAATTATGTTTTGTACATAATTAAAACGATCTACTAATACATTTAGTTTCATTTTGTATTTTTTTTTATTTATTTCTCAATAGCTGTGAATACGCGTAGCTAGTGAAAGATAAGTAGAAATCTACCCCTAATGTACATATTAGGGGAAGATTTTTACATTATTTACACAAATGCACGGACATAAATTAAAATCAACAATTATTCTTCCATTAACATTGGTACCTACAACATGGAACATTTTTTTTAATAATGATGTAGGTACAGACCGTACTGTCAATACATTAAATATTAAAAATGATTCGAAGTTATCATAATTCGTTGAAATATACATATATCGCAATAATAAATAGCATAAATCATAATATAGAAATATTGGGAAATTAACTGTACAGCTATAAATTTTCAAAAATATGTTACATATGTTATGAGTAACATATTTTTTTAGTAGTGAGGGTGTCAACTACTATAATAATTTTAGTAAAATTGAGGTACCTAACATTTGACTTCTGATCGAAATAGAGGAGTTGCACCGCATTTTTAACCATACTATGCTACGTCAATACAACTATATACAACTCAAAATATTTTGGAGTCTGCTAACAGATAAGAGTATCTATAGATAGGTCACAGGGTTTCCCATAAAGGTTCTAGGAGCAAGAGAAAGCATAGTTAGCTTCAATACATAAAGAACACTCAGTTGACTAATTTGTTACTTAAATAACAAATTTAAAACCATAGCGAGTCACGTGATGTTGGCGGCGTCACGATTATGCCACCGCCACAAATAGGAATAGAGATAAAGAGGCCGGGAACAAGGAGGGAGCGGGTTGCTCTCTCTTTGTTCGAGGCGACTGAGACGACCAAACGTGAATGTACAGCGACGCAATTTATGTGAGTGTAATTTGAAAAAGGAAAAAATAAAAGTACTGCTGCATCGACATATCATTTCTGAGACTTCCCATTAGTAGAGATTTTAGTTCTGTATGGAAAAGTACATCTTTTTTTATTAATTGACTAAATGTAGTTTCACATTTGACTACACCTTAAATTTGACATTTTATAAAATAATATTTGAAACTGAAGGGGGCGGTGAATTTCCATTTGACCCTAGGCAGGGACAGACGCGCTTTGGAACTGAAATACGCAACAACATTTCTCTTTCACAATAGCTGTAAAAACAAATTAAAACTATATTTAGGCTAATAAATAAGATACTTTTTATGATTCGAATATCTCAGGAGAAATTCACGCAGCGCATATCTAGTCACAAATTAAGCAGTTTGTGTAATCGGTACTAGACAACTGATATAACTACATAGATACATATTTTTTGTAAATACCTACATAATATATACCCAGACCGATACAAAGAATCATACTCATGAATACAAATGTCTATACCGTGTGATGAATTGAACCCGCGACATCGGAAGTAAGGTGGTGTGCTAAACCACTAGACCACGAGGACGTCATCTTTATTGTACTTTACACGGAAATCCGAGGATCCTTCCTAGTATTGGGATCCAGCTGTCATAACATAATAATAGGTGACTAAGTGTTCCACGTCCCAAAAACCCGCGCAACCTTGTGATACTCGTTTTTCTAGATTAACCTGTTGATATGTTATCGAAATATTACACTGGTATCACCTATTTCTGTTTCCCTGAGCAGTGTTCGCTGTCATTTGTATAGTAAGCACGCGTATCAGTGTTTGGATACATTACAAAAGTGAATTTATTATTATTTGAATATAGTAAGTAATAGATATAAGTTATTTTAAGGCTACGATTTTTTTGCTTACTTTACATTATGTGGATAGATTTGTGTGACAACCACGCTGTCGTTTATTTATAACATGAAACATAATAATAATACAGTAATCATACATTATTCTGTTTTGAACCAAAAGTTGCTCAGGGTTGCCAACTTTAATATTATATATTGAGCCGCGTACGAAGAAATAAAAAACAGACAAAATCTCGTACATTAGTTCAAGTTGGCTGGCTTCGTAGATATATATAGTATAGTACTTAGACCGATTTTTGTGCATTAAAATCTCGTATTAGTAAGAGGATCCTAGTAGGTACGATTGCACGTCTCTCACACAAGATGTGAACCACCTGACAAAAGTGCAAGGTTTCTTGACGTAGCAACTAGCAATATCATCATTACGGACATAGTATAAAACAAACTCATCGCCGCTATCTGTTCGCTTAGATATTTTAAAGTACGCAACTCATTTTAATGCAGTATCCAGCAATAAATAAAATAATTTAAGACGAAGTTTTGTATGTATACAATATGGATATTTGTAATACACACATGCTAAGTCGGGGCGAGTTAAGGTGGTCAGTAGTAGTAGATATAATAATTTTTGTGTATATGTATTTGTCATCTAACTTCTCCTAAACGGCTTAACCAATTTGGATCACATTCTACGTGCATATTTAATTGAACCCGGTAGGTATTGCTGCATTTTCCGGTCAGAACGACGCTTGCTAGGTGTGCTAGTATTGTACCTATATATAATTATATAACTATGATATAAACGGCATAATAACAATGAATTATGTGGCGTCAATAATAATGGTGTTATTAACTGTACAGAGATAACAATTGTTATTTTCCAATATTTTTATTTATAAGATAACACGCCTTATAAATAAAAATATAGTCTATCCTTGAAACTCTATGGTATCGACATCATGTTTCTAATGTAGGTATATTAATAGGGAGCATATTTAATTTAATGGATTATTATTGATGTCAATATTGTTATATACATGGTAATAAATATGCCTAATACACAATTTATATCAAAGAATAATCGACCATTTCATGAAATAGTGGCGTTTTGTGATAGCTAATCAACTATAATTAATATACCTATTAATGAGAGTAATTATTATAATGTTAAATAATAAAAATCTAATAATTAGGCCATTATTATTTATTTATTGAAATTTACCGAATTCTTTCTTTTCTAATTACCGCATCAATATTATAACCACAGATAAGATAATCTTACATATTATAATTATGTACCTACTTCTATGCTATAGAACTGCCATTCTTTACCGCCGCGCCGCGCCGTCATGCATAATTGGGCTGCTAACCACAATGTATAAAAAATGGTGTATTTTATATATCTAACTACAATATTTTACTATGTCGCGGATCGTTCGACGAAATTAAGTAAGTAAATGTTTTCAAATTGAATGTCGTTAAACAAACTATTTTTTATTCGGTCAAGCAAAATAAACGTAATAAAAAATGTAGTATGTTAAGTTATTTTATTTTTAAAGGAGTTTTCCATAGTTGTATTATGGAAAACTCCTTTAAAAATAAAATAGAAATATTTCTTTCCACCTTTATTTATAACAAGCTGACCCGTGCGACTTCGTCTGCATTTAATTTCCCCACCTTTTACAATTATTCATTGCAGCTCCTCTCCTATTGGTCGTGGCGTAATATTATATAGCTTAAAACCTCTTTCGACAAATAGACTATCCAACACAAAAATAATTGTTCAATTCAAACCAATAGTTCTTAAAATTAGCGTGTTCAAACAAACAAACAAACAAACTCTTCAGCTTAATAGTTATAACTTATAATATTATAAGTATGTAATATTATGTTATCTGTGTTATAAGTATAGCTATATATAGCTTATAATATTAGTATAGATTATATAATATGAAGGTATTTGATAAATATTATAATATATTAATAATATAATAACTGTTTCATTGTTCACAGATAAGAAATTTTGACATAATTTTACAATGGTCAAAGCAAAGAAATATGTTGTGAAACAATATTTTGAAGGCTTACCAAAGCCGGAAGACTATGACATAGTCGAAGAAGTACTGGAACCAATAAAAGCTGGGGGCATTGTTGTAAAAACTGAATGGATTAGCGTTGACCCTTACCTTCGTGCATACAATAGAAGATCGAGTGTTCCTTATGATCAATACAGTTTTCAAGTCGGGGTAGTCCAAGAAAGTAAAAACCCAGACTTTCCCATTGGAACTAGAGTAGTAACTCACAAAGGATGGCGTAATTATACAGTTATATATCCTAAAGAAGCTTCTCCAGAAGATACCATTTATAAGTTGCCCGATTTACGAGGTTTATCTAATTCTTTAGGTGTCGGTGCCGTTGGTATGCCAGGAGCGACGGCATACTTTGGTTTTTTAGAAATCTGCAAGCCTAAACCTGGGGAGACTGTTGTCGTTACCGGTGCTGCAGGAGCTGTAGGTTCCATTGTGGGTCAAATTGCGAAAATTAAGGGATGCAAAGTAATCGGTTTCGCTGGCTCTGACGATAAAGTCCAGTGGCTTGAGAAAGAACTTGGATTCGATAAGGCTATTAACTATAAAACTGCAGACGTTGCTAAAGTTCTAAAAGAAGCAGCTCCAAATGGTGTTGATTGCTTTTTTGACAACGTAGGCGGTGATTTAAGTAGTGCAATTATATATCAAATGAATTTGTACGGACGGGTTTCTGTTTGCGGAAGTATTAGTGCCTATAATGAAGATGTCCATACCAGCCCCAAAGCTAATATCCTTCAGCCTGCTATAGTGGCGAAACAATTAAAAATTGAAGGTTTTATCGTACACCGTTGGCGTAATCAATGGCCAAAAGCATTTTCAGATATAGTTCAATGGATTGAAAGTGGAAAGTTAATAGCTCGAGAACATGTCACAGAAGGTTTTGATAATATACTGAAAGCATTTGTTGGTATGTTGAACGGTGAGAATACTGGCAAGGCTGTGGTCAAAGTATAAATAAACATAAACACATCGTCATGAATGAGATGCGCGCATTTATTAGGGAAGATATAAAGAGAGAACCTGAAATAAAATCTCTCTTTTATACTGTATTTTATCTGTAACATATTTATTTTATATTCAAATATTTGTTTAATTTTCACCTTATTCCGAGCCGCCTGTAGATGTGAAAATTTTATGATAATAGGACAGACTATTGGTGACATTATTGTTAGTAATGGGTCTATTGCTAGCAAAATACCATATCAGTTCGACATCCACAAGGTCTCTCCTGGAAACTCTCATAATTAATATCATGTGGGCTATATCATCTAGCTACACGTGTATTTATTTAATTGTATAATTACTAATAGTCTAGAATATTGTCAAATGTTTTATTTTCAGAGATGTAACTTCAATATTATTGATACATACATTTATCTAACGAACAGCTCGGTCATGCCTATCGTAATCAATAACGTCATACGTTATGATGACTTGCAGAAAACTCGTATTACGACATACATAGATAGTTACAAAGTTAAAATAAATAGAATGACAACTTCAACAACGGATATAATTTAGTAATTGTAATAAAAATAAAATAAAATTTCCCATCTCCCTGCCCCTTCCCTCAATCTAGCATTTGTGAAACTTTCTGATCTGGAACCATCAAACGATCAAACGCCAAAAATACCCATCCCGTTAAGTACTTTTAACACTATGCAGTCACAGTGCAAACTGCTAGTAACCCGTAGAGTGTTTTATAAGTAGATATGTATAAGAATACAAGTTCAAGAAAGAAAAATATTTTACTATTTATTTATATAACTACGCAGTAGAATTAGAGTAATAATATAGTGTGATTAAATCAAATTTTCATTGTGGCCAGATTTCTGAAAATTGCTTTGCAGTGACCGCCTTAATAAGGAAGTAGCAACACTATTTTCATACTGTAATGATCAAATCAACCAATATACGAACTAACGACATCATTCATTCAGATCAGACTCGCAGCTTACTTCACTCCGCACATCTGCCATGACACCAGTCAATGCCATTATCAGTTGCACTCGCAGTCGTGTATATTACTTCTTGTCTATTGGTAGTATTTAATATTTGTCTTAGTGATACCGGTTCATTAAACAAGTGAGGACGTGAAAATAGAATAATATTAAAAGTAAGTACGTATTCTATTTGCTGCTAATTCCCAGATTTGGAATCTTTATATGTTTTAGAAAAGTGTGAGAGAAAATCACTGTATTTAGTGAGAAAAATAATTTGCAATGAATTATGGTGTCGGTGGACATTTTCCGGTCAAATAATTTCTAGTACTCAAAACTAAAGCCTAAAAATATTATGTCATATTTTTAATAGTTATTCTATTATAGCATATATAGTGTATCTAGTCTTATTAGCATAGATTCCTACATCTAGTATAGTACCTATATAAGTAATAGAAAAAAATTGTTTACCTTTTTTAAGCTATTTACAATGAATTGTACATTATTGTTCCCGATGTAAAAAAAGTAAATTTTACCCACTTCTTTTTTTTAAAAGTAGTTATAGATTATAGGTTGAAAAATAACTTCTATCCATTTAGACTTATCATAGATTAATCATGTTTTAATAATGACTTTAATTGCAAAAAAACTGATGCTTTTTGATAGTTTCATGATATATGGCCTTTCTTTATAACCACATCATATAATTTGCAGTTAAGTCTTAGCGTCATGAACCGTACAGGAGTAAAAATAAAAAATATACCTAATTTTAAAAAATATACTTATAATAAGTACTTATTATTTTTAATAATAATATTTAAAACATAGACATCAAGAATTCGATATACGTAAGCATGTACACAATTCGACATCACTAGCGAAATATAGTAAAGATAGTTATATAATACCTTTCTTTCTTTAATGTTAATTAAAAAAGCGTACATTTAAGAGAAATTAAATATACATACATTTAGGTTAAATAGGTACACATGTAATAATATTATATAGGATCACTGACAGATTTTTTGCAGCAAAATAAAATCTTATCCAATAAAAATTTATAGATATAGGGTTCCGAACCAAAAATTTAATAAGTAATTGTGGCACGAGCACAGAATATTGTACTATTATACCAGAATACTACCTACCATATTACAATGGTTTTAAATTTTCTTATATTAGCATAAAGTAGAATATTGAATAAACATTTGTATCTACAGAAATAAATTATCAAGACATTAACAATGGTGAAAGCCAGAAAGTACGTGGTGAAGAACCATTTTCAAGGCGTACCGAAATTGTCCGATTATGAAATAGTAGAAGAGGAACTACCTCCACTGAAAGATAATGAATTTCTGGTAAAAACCGAATGGATCAGTGTCGACCCATACCTTCGAGCATACAACTCTCAAATAAACGCACCGTATGATCAATTCAGTTTCCAAATTGCACTAGTACAGGAAAGCAAGAATCCTGACTACCCAGTTGGTACTAGAGTAGTTTCACATAAAGGTTGGTGCGACTACACGATCATAAATCCAAAATTACAGAGCGACTTCCTTGATACAGTCTATACGTTACCAGATTTAAAAGGATTATCAAATTCTTTGGCCCTCGGCGCTGTTGGTATGCCGGGGGCAACCGCTTACTTCGGATTTCTAGAAATTTGTAAACCTAAGCCTGATGAAACGGTAGTCGTGACGGGCGCTGCAGGCGCTGTTGGGTCTATAGTGGGCCAGATTGCTAAAATCAAAGGTTGCAAAGTAATCGGATTTGCTGGTTCTGATGAAAAAGTGCAATGGTTAGAAAAAGAACTAGGATTCGACAAAGCTATCAACTATAAGACTGCTGATGTCGCCAAAGCCCTAAAAGAAGCTGCTCCGAACGGGGTGGATTGTTATTTCGACAACGTTGGTGGAGAGTTGAGCAGTGTGATTATAAATCAATTGAATGTGTTCGGACGGGTGTCTGTGTGCGGAAGTATTAGTTCATACAATGATGATCTAGATAAATTGCCAAAAGCATCTATTGTACAACCAGCCCTAGTGTTCAGACAGTTGAAAGTGGAAGGATTCATAGTAAGCCGGTGGAGGGAGCGCTGGTCTGAAGCGTTCACTGAAATTATTACATGGATTCTAAATGGCAAAATGAAGCCTCGGGAACACGTGACAGAAGGTTTTGATAATCTTTTTAAGGCGTTTACTGGCATGTTAGCAGGTGAAAACTACGGCAAGGCTATAGTCAAAGTTTAAAGTCTGTTTGAATAATTTCACGTCAATCATAAATTGTTCTAACTACTTGTTATTTACTGTACATTTATATACCTACTAATAGTATAAGTACACAAATGTTTAATAATAAAATATAATTGTCGCATTGTTGACTTGTTTCAATGAAGATTCTCCTAGCCGCTATTGCTATCTGTATAAAGGGATTTACTTCAGAACTAATTTAATTAATATACTTTTGGTTACTTTAGAATAATATTTTTTTTTTTGTTTTAATACGATTGAGAAGAACAGAAGCGTGTAGATTCGTATTACAAATTAAGAGATAGAATAATTAAAAACCACTATTTGAAAATGACATCAACCGATTTCAAAAAGGTGGGGCGATCAATTCGGTCAATTCACTCATGATTTTTTTATCTGAAAAATATTTTTTTTATTTAAAAGTTTGTGCTTCCTATGTCATCCCATAAACGCTGCGTTTAGACAATACATATAATACATCTTCTTTTAAAAAAAGATTATTTTACGAAGTATAAATAAGTATGATTTTACTAACCACATTAGAAGAATTCCATACAAAAAGACAGCTAATAAACATGACGAGGATGTCGGATGCTTCAATGCACCACATAACTCCTGCAATTTTTTAAATGTCGTCATAAACAGGTAGGTATTATTGTAATGTAAGTACATATGCAGGTATAGGTAAGAAAAATAAGTTTCTATAGTATGACACAACAGTAGGTACACTGACGAAAACCTTAATATTTAATTGATTATCACTTGTTGATAAATTAATTATTATAATAAAAACAATTGTAAAGCCTAAGTAAAAAATATTGTAGCTAAGAACCACTCGATCACGTTTGTTTAAAATAAATTAACCGCATAATATCCGGTCCATTCGTTTAGGTGAAACCAATTTTGATTCTTTTTAAAAGCTGCAAGCAGTAGCTATAGTGCATCTTCTGTGGTCCCATATAAATGTGATCAAAATCTGACCAACACTTTTTAAGACATATCTACTTAGTACTGCGTATTTTTATTAATCGAGTGGCCTAGCGATTTACTAGCTTGAATTACGCCCGTGAGTCGTGAGTTCAAATCTGACGGAACCTTTTACTGTCTTTTAACCACAAATTCATCTGAGAAACGGCAGTACGTTCGAACTTAGCTTAGATTCAAAATAATAAATCTATCATTTTCATCACAACATCAACAATTGACAATGCCTCAGACTACCCCACCTAAACATAATGGTCGTGACGATATGTCATATCAATACTTTTCAATTATTAAATTGATACGGATTGTATAGTTGCTTCATTTGTGGACAGATAATTTTATTATAATATTTCAGGACAATTCACATAGCGCCATCTAGTCTAGCATCTTAGCTGGGCTAAACAGAGCTTGTGTTATGGTTACTATATATAGTTTTTTTTTTGGTAAATACACACTTAATTATAATACAAAACACCCAGACCGATACAATCATACTTATGAATACAAATGTTTGTACCGTGCGAGGAATCGAACCTGCGACCATTTGGCACAACACTACTCACTTCGATCTAAACTTAAAACTTTTTCTAATGATCAGGCATATTACATTACAACTTACTGGATACATCAATATCATCGATATACAATTTATCATCTTTACTCATCAGCATAATATGTAGATCATTGGGCAGTGGTTCCTCATCAAACTTGATCACTTCCAGCTTGATATTGCAAATTACACCCAATATAAGACATACAGCGGCCATGAAAGTAGCCGAAAGCGTCGCTCTAGAGGATTTAGCGTGTAATTTCTCAGCTTGGGCGAATGTCTTTTGACGTACATAGTCGATACTCGTGTCCATGTAATCAATGAAAGCCCCTATAAGAGGTAATTTCGATTTTGAATAGGTCATGTGTTTTGGAAGGATCTGTGTATCACCACTAGCCATATTCTGCTAATTTCAAAGTACTTTTAATACAATAATTTTAAAACAAATATGTGATTTTGAATGCAACTATCTTGATGACTACAATAATTTGACAGACTATTCTTAGTTATATGCCTATATAGACAAAAAGGTTACGTATTACAAGCAGATTATCAAAGTTTTTATCGTCATTGTACTGCGGTAACTGTGTTATTCTAAGTTTATCTAAAATAAGAAAATTCTCGTAGGTTAGTGATAAAAAATCGTCGCATAAATATATTTCGAAAGTGACTTATGAATAGAAAAAAAATTTATGTGTTTAAATCTAAATATATATAACTCAAAGGTGACTGATATAGTGATCTAGCTGTCGGGCTGAAATTTGGCATGCAGATGATGTTATAACGTACATAGGCATCCAATAAGAAAGGATTTTGATTAATTCTACCCCCAAGGGGATAAAATAGGGAATGAAAGTTTGTATGAAACGTTGTCAATTTTAAATCGATCGGGCTGAGACTTTGCATGCATAAAGCTACTATGACTATCCCGTAAGAAAGGATTTTGATAAATTCCACCCCTAAGGGGATAAATTTACGCGAGTGAAGCCGCGGTAGTCCATGATAAAGGTATAGTGCGCCCGCCTGTATTATAAATAGGTATACAACGAAAGAATGACCATGAAGTCAAGTCAGTCAGCGCATTGGGATGTATTAACCATGATTATTTCCAGTTTGCGTGAAACCTGATACTACAAGAGATTGGACGACTAGTCCCTCCTAAAAAAATAATTCTCTTTCCCTTAATATAGGATCGCCGCGTCATTGTTTGATATATTTATACAATAAATTATGTAAGTATATATAACATACCATATAGGATCAAGGATCAAGGAAGGAAGACAATCAAAGGCAATTTAAAATCAGTTTTATATCCTTATTTTGGGATTAATTGAAAATTGATCAAATGAATTACACAAAAACAGACAGGCGTAGACAAGCAACGATGATTAAAAACTTCTAATAATATAATAATAATCAGAAAACATTTATGCATTATTTTAAAATGCCAACTGAATACATAACCAAGTTAATCATATATGATCGTCGACACTGTAAACACACTGACATGCACACATTATGATATTATTTGTACAACATAGCAATCTCTTGGATTAATTTGGTTTATTTTTCGTATTTTCCATAATCGACGAGGTGGACGGAACAAAATATGGGAAACCATACCTTTCATTCTCGACTTAGCAGAAGCACTAAAGTACATAGGATGTTAATAACTTGCCGTGTACGATAGTGGTCTAAGAGTGGGCTCACTTTATCAAGATCAGACCGTACGGCTCGCACCGACAACGCCCTTAGATTGGCGAATTAGTTGCCCATTGGAAATGTCGACACGAGCCGTCTGAACTTGATAATGCGAGCTCACTCCTCAACTTAAGGTGCGTCTCTCGTTTATGTAATCTAAGGACTTTCGTTAAAAGTAATAAAACTATAATTTTATCAAAATTTATTCTTATATTAAAGTAATTCTAGGTTACAAACGATTACAACATAAATTAATAAACACGGGGTTTCTTCTAACAATAACATAATTCTATCCAGTTAACTAAATTCTATTTATCTTATATTCTAACTATTCCTATTTTTATATAATTCCACTGAAACCTTTTTGAATTTAAGTTTTCTTTATTAAATTTCAGTACGTTGTATATAAAATTTATATTTGTAAGAAAAACTGAGTGACTGATTTTTTTAGTCTATCTGTGTTTATGATTCTATAATATACATACAACTGGACATATTTTATAATGAAATACAGCCATTACTGTTGTAGCGAAAATTAGAAATAAATAGTTACAACTTACAAGCGAATAGATCTGGATAGATAATGTTATAAAAATTAACCTACATCTAGTTCGTACTAAATAACTCAGTCTGTTATTTGACGCTAGTGACTACAAAGGAATCAAAATTAACTACAGATAATATAATACTTATACTAGTAGCGTAAACGTAACAAATCAAGTATAGTTAGTTTCGTATAAATCATAGTATCAAGTTCCTCAATATTATCTTATATTTTTTGAATACCAATTAAAATTTTATAGGATACAAATTTAATTCCATATACTCAAAATAAATAAATGGTTGTAATTATACATATTATTATATAAAGCATTATTAAATATTTTTATACAGCATAGGGAAGACAAGACTTGTAAGTCTTGTCTTCATCCATTCAGTATCGTATCGGTTCGGAAATGACATTGCTGGAAAGTGATACTACAATGTAGTTGTGAATGTAATGAATAATGAATGTACGGAAATGTAAACTAGGACCTTACTAAATAACGTATTAATCAAGAACATAGTCCATTTGTGCAATTAGTTTAGTACCTAGTTAATCATAGTACATTAGTACATATGAATTAATTTGTTTTAATAAATTCTGAATTAATTTATTAATTATCTACAAAAAGTTTGACTTAATACCAGATCAGTATCCAAAGTGACAAGTATGTTATTAAGCATGAATGTGTTCAAGATTACAATTCTAGTTGGGTTTCTCTATGAAATTAATTATCTTAAAGTGTGTGAGGTTTGGTTATACCCCTAGTTCTTTTGTTGTATGGATACTCGTACTAATAAATATACCAAACTTCAGAATAAGCAAGTGGCGCATTAATGTGACGTCACATACTTAATTTACTAAAATTGAACGATGCAACATCTCAGACTACATCTATGCCTGTTTTGCGAGTTTAAAACAAAAATAAATAAACTTATAACTGATTAGATTTGAGAAAAGGAGTATTAATATAATTACTTATTTACACTATGCGATTCCTTTGCCTCACAAGCACTGTTATAGATCATTTCCGATTATCTGTACATTTTAACCTTTATTACCAGGTGTTATGATTCGTAATAGTACAGATATTTTTAAAATTCACGTATTAATTCTCTTCGCGGCCGAAGATTCCGCGTCGCCTTCACTTGATTTCCGTTTCCTCTTGATGAGATGGGAAATGTCTGCCGCTGGTTTTGCCGCAGAAGTGCTGGAACCCGCTCCGTTAGTATGAGACGAGCCTTCTCCATTTGCAGAGCATAAGGTTTCGCGTACTCGTTTTATAGTCTGGAAGAATAATATGTACTTCTATAAGTATCACTGGATTTTACTCACAACTTCGTCCGCGTGACAGGAATAGTCGTAAAGGATGTATACCAAGCTAAAAAGCAAAGTATACTCAAGAAAATAAACCGGTTTCAACAAGAAACAAAGTGAAATCTGAAAATAAATATGAACTTTCATAACTTCTAAATCGATGAGCTGACTGTGTATTTTGTATGAAAGGTTTTTGTTGAACAAACACGAACACAACCACTGCCTTTCGCGCTGAGTATAAAATTTACGACTAAACCTAATATAGTTTTGATCAGAATAAAAAATTCGGTAAGATTTCATCCTTTTAGTTAAGCCGTAAAATCATCGACAAGTAACGAATTCGACTTTGATCAAAATACAGTAAGCATTATAATAATAATACAGCACAATCCATACAGCGTCATCTAGTCCCAAGTTAAGCTTGTGTTATAGGTACTAGACAACTGATATAAATGTGTTATGTATGTGTCTACAAAAATGTATCTTGACATTTTTGTAGACACATACATAACACATATAGAAAACACCTAGCCCGCTACAATCATACTCTTAAATACAAATATTTGCAACGTGCGCGGAATCGAAGCCGCATCTATCCGAAGTAAACCACTTAGGCCGTCATTATACAATGCAGTCATCTTAAACAGCGTGCAATTATCGATTATTATGAATTAGAGATTTACAAAAAACGATATTTATTGTAATGGAATAGAAATTAAACTATTTCACACTTTTATGTCATTTTAAATAATTCTTTCAAGTCATTAATGCTGTTCCAAATATAATATTTAATATACTGAGCCTATTTACGATTACGATTCTCTTGTAATCGCCATAAGAACATTTTTCACTGTCGCCATGGATCTTTCAGGACAAGACAATTTAACCTACTTAAAGGCTATTATATATTTATATAAGACGTTTGGAATAGTTCCTATACTTCTTCTCTTCCATTGATGTATTTATGTATTAATAATAAGAAACCAGATGATAATGGCCAATTACCACATTATATGAAGAAAATATATTTTTAATAAAACATCTGCATATGTGTGTAATATGCAGATGTTTTATTGTCCAGTTCACTGAATAACAAAACAACCACATGGCCATTGATGCATTGGGTTGGGGGCGAAATAAAAAAAAACAATGTTCGAATTTAGAATATTTTTATTTCAAAATCAATCACAATACAAAAATGGCCTTGTGGTACAAACTTACAATTAATAGTAGATACAGAAATAACAGTCTCAAATTGAACTTATAAACTATGAGTATTAAATGTTACTTGAGATTATATTAAGGCACTTATTTCTATTGATTAGTGTACTAATGAAGACAATAGTCATATAAATTAATAAAAAACAACCAATTAAATATCACAATTACAAAATACTGAATTTTGGCACATTTTCTTATAGGAACTAACAATTTATGGAATGTATTATATTTAATGATTACAGCCTATGGTGATTTATCTGCAGAAAATAAGATGGAAAATACTAATCTACAGTAATATTATTATGTTGATTCCTTTTTCATTAGTGAATAGTACTTGTAGATCTGCTTTACTATAAACCACTCCTACTTTATCTAAATTATTGAAGTCTATGTCATATCGTTAAAAATAGTGAATTTATTGTTATGTGTAAACAACCCAACTTAACATTTTACTTAAACTCTACAAGGCATGTGGTTAGTTATTACTCAAAAGATCAAATATTTATTGAGCATTAAGCCTTACAATCTATGTGACAGAGATTTTTTTCCTTAAGCATCATACCTCGCAACATGTTTCTAGTTTCCTCCACACAATCACATGGTCTTACCTCAGCTTTATAATCCATCATGTCCTGGATTTTCTCCTGGATTTCAGGGAGCAATTCTTTGAGTTCCTTAATCTCGCCCTCGACAGAGTAGAAGGGATCGGCTGTTGCAAACTTCTTGACGGTGGCATCCTCAGTCACTGCTGCTGGATTCTCTAACGTCTTGATGCGAGTTTCTAGAATGTTCGCCGCATTCTTGAAATGTGTTATGGCGTCTTCAAAGTTGGATGCTAGAGAATTCGCTAGCCCTGTAAATAAGTGAGATATGATTTAAAAAAGGATAAAACCATTATATATTACAGTATTTAATATAAATTAAAAATTATTAACTATGCAGCCATTCTATTTTTCTTTTATGTGTCATGCATTGCCGTGATGGCTCTATCACCCTATATCAATCTTATGTACTCCTTCAATCAAAATGGAGGTTACAAAGCATGTACCACCGAGACAACTTTTACAGTCTATCTACATTTACAAAACCAAATAAATCATTTAAAGTTTTACTTAGTCAAAAAGATACTACAATCGTAAAAATAAAAAGATTTTTTTGTAAACAATCAATTCACGATTAGTAAAAAAACGTAACATCAGACAGAGATTATATCACAAAGGCATTTAGGGTACAAAAAGAACAGAACATTTAACATGTCATTAAAAATATAAGATCGTAATGAAATACACAGGTAAAGTAATGTATATAAAATAACTGAAATACTGGAATACCTAATAACTGGAATAAGTAAAATAGAATAACTGGAAATATTGCTATTTTTCATGTTTTGTAAAACAACCTCAAAGTTCTGCCACCTTTATATACAATTTGGTATTCAAAATCCAGTATTAACGTAGTATCTAAAATTATCAAATTTGTATTTACATACCAATCTGATAATGCGTTTCAGCGATTCTTCTATCATCCCTGCAGTAAAGTTCCTTTTGTAGTTCCAAACAGCTTTCTGTGGAACAATAAAAATGCTACTTTTAACATTTCAAACAATATATTACTTAAATTTAAAATATAATATTTCAAATAAGAATTAATTAGCAATACTGCAAATTATATGATGAGGTAATTATTTTCCTTTAGTTCAAACTAAATTCTTATTTTATATTCATTATCTACTAGTGAAGCATTCCAACATTACCAGGGTGCCAGAGTATATATTAGTACAATATACAGCCTACAAAACTCTTGAATAATGTACCATTCAAATAATAGTTTATTATTTGAATGGTACATATATAGATAAGTACAGTATTTTTGAATTTATTTTTCTCGCAACAAAATCTGTTTTTTAGTTTTATAATAATACACTAATAGTATAAATTCCATTAATTTACAGAGGTAGGAATCACCTTACAAAAAAAAACAAAATAATACGAACGCATATCGATGACGGCCTTGTCGTAGGTCTCGCTTTCGAGGGCCACCTCCCCTAGTGCTAGATGCACGTCAGCGAGCAAAGCACGAGCCGGAGTACCACCATCTTCCTCCGCCCGCCGCGACAGTATGCTGCGAGCTAAATCTGTACAACAATACATTATAAGGAGCAAATTACTATTATATACTCCTACTTTATTACACCAGATATATTACAGAAATAAAAATTAACAGAGTAATTGAATACAAAAGAAGGTCTTATCGTTTATGCAATATCTTCCAGACAACATTTAGAAAGTATGCTGCGAGCTCAGTTTACAGGACAAATTGTGATGAGCACGACACAGTATTGACGCGACATGTCTTGTGTTTCTCTCAAATCTGGCACGAACCTGCTAGTGCTGCTTTAATTGGCCATTGTACACCACATTTAATAAAAATACGTACCAAGCATTTCCCAGGCTAATTGCAGATTATCAACATCGTCTTCATTATCATCGGCTTCAGACTCTTCATTTGCTTCACCGTTGTTGCTTGTACCCTAAAATAATATATTTTAAATTTCAAAATGAAGAGTGAAATCAAATTCCCTATTGCCAAATCTACACTAATTTTAGCATACATTCAACCGTACTTTGAATTGGTAGCGTGCTAATAGAATTTGTAGTGATATTACCTATAAGTATTGTTAAACAATTATAAACTATAGTATCGCAAACATATTGTTATTGTTCAGACTGTCTTACTATTACAGTACCTATATAATTTATTTTTATTGTCACTAAAAAATCACTAAAACAATATGGACAAACATGGATAAACAAACTAACATATGTAGAACAATCACGGTTATGGCCACTAATAATATGTCATGAAATGCAATCATGTCAGAAATGATTGTACTATTAAGATATACAGATGATATAGGTTCCATATTGGATGTGTGATTATTTTTTAAATTGTAATACATATATTATTCGCCAGTTATATGGACATATTACTAGCCAATAATGTCTTACAATGAAATAAAAATATGTTATAAAATAATTGACTTTTATGATAGCATCAATACTATAATCACAATGTACAAATGTGCATTTCTTTTTTGACGGCCTCAGTTGTCTAGTTGCGTAGCACACTACTCTACTTTGTCTATGTCTATGATGTATGTTTTTAAACAAAATATAATATATCTTTTAATTTATTTAATTTGTCTAGTACCCATAACACAAGGTCCGTTTAGATTGGGCCTAGATGGCACTGTGTGAATTGTCCTGGGATGATGTTATTACTATTATTATTTGTATTTGTGATGCAAACTTTTTTTATTTATTTATAAACATTTTATAATTATACACACTGGCTCATCACCATCTCCTTCAGCAACTGTACTGCTGCCAGGTTCTTCCTCCTTTGTTGTGGACTCAGCTTCGATTTTCTCTACTTCATCATTGTTCTCGCCATTCTGTTCTCCTTCTCCATTTTGTTCTTCCTCACCATTGTCAGCACCTTCTATAATATTTAATAGGCATACATTATATGCTGTAAAAGACATACAACAAATAAATGTCTAAAAGTACACACTCAGAAAGTTCTTTAAAATCTTTATCTTTTATAAATACATCCAAAGACTTGTCTCCTTTAGCAAATTATTTTATTATTTTTTACTATACACCTATTTATTACAAGTTTTGTTTTTTTAAAAACATTGTTGTTTTTCTTTGCCAGTTCTCCAAATAATTACAAAAAAAATAGGAAGGAAATTGTTAGCAATGGGGTATTGGATTGCACCCACCAGTGTATAATGTTAGTGCAGGCGAGGGCAGTTTTATTTTGATATATGTCCTGTACAGCTTACCCTCATTATCATCCTCCTCTTCAGGATTTCCATTTCCTGCCACACCATCTCCGAGCACACCACTCTCTTCTCTTGACAGACCCAGAAGCGCTTTGCCATACCTACGAAGTAGGAAATTTAAAAAATAACAACATAAGCTTCATTATTTTAAATACCTTACCACAGGTGTATATGTATTTAAATACATGTACACCTGTGACTTAAGTCACTATCTATTACTAAGAACTACATTAAAATTGGTTGCAGAGTTTAAAAGATTTAATCAAACAGATAGTGGATGATTCTTTTTGTACTATGTATCTAAATATGTTTATCCAAGCATTGAGTGGATAGAATGTATGTATTGTACTTTCCTAATTTCAAAATTCCTTATGGGAAAGGTAAATGGATCAGAGGACTTCAAGAGGTAATTAATGTATTTTTTGCTGGAATGTATGATTTGATGAATTATTACCTCTTTTTTTAGACTACTATGGTGGCAAACAGGCATACAGTCTATCTGATGGTAAATGGTTACCATAGCTGGACGCCTGAAACACCATGTCCTTCTTGAACAAACCCATGCTGTAGTCTCATGAGAAAACCTCGGCAGGAAGTTCATTCCACAAACTACTTCTTGTAATAATTACCAGCAAATCATAAATTTTTAATTTCTAATTGCATTGTTAAAAAACTTAAGGTTTTCCAGATTGTAACTATATACATACACAGCATCATGAACATTTATTGCCTGCATTCTGAGGAACTAAGATGTCATGCCTGTAACTATACCATATCCTGTAAATTTGACTTCTCTCAATCTACAACCGAAATATATCATGTAAAACAAGCTGCTTAGCATCTCAAATAAGCAAGACAGAGATATCCATATAGACAACATTGTACAAAATATACCAAATTTTTAATTCAAAATTTAAATAGTCTAGGTGTAGTGTGTGTAGATATCTGTGGTTGGTATTACATGACTATGTCTAATATAAATCAATCATAAATATCATACCATAAATAAGCCTCGGCACATTGATCTGCTGTGTCACCATGCTCTTTAGCAAGTGCCTCACAAGCCTTTGCGAGGGTGCCAGCTGCAGCACTGAAGTCCCTTACAGCAAGATGCCGACGTCCTGCTGCCAGCATTTCAGAAGGAGATGATGTTGTTACCTCAGGGATATCAGCCATCTGAAATAAATACTATATTAACTAGTTTTAAAAATCTGAGAACAGAAACCTGTTAACGGAATAGAATACTAGATAAAATAAAAAGAGATATAAAGAAAAGAAATTAAAAAGATGGGAATACGATGGAGAAGGACATGGAAATACAGAAATAATTTATCATTCAAATAGTGATTCTTACAAATGGATAAGTGGTAAAACTTACTACTTATTTGGTAAAATATAGCATTTGTTTTATTCCAATCAGTTTATAGACAAAAACATTATGCGAATACATACCCGCGGGTTGTATCCGTATAAGGTTTCTGTAAATAGTGGGTCAATAAAATCAGTAGAACACAGAAAAAACAACTTTTCTAATACTTTTTAGGTTTAAGCAACTTATCCGTAGGTATTAATTACGCTTTAAATAATTAAAACGTGGTACTCTATTCTAAAGTTCTTCTGTAATTTACAATACAAACTGCATTGTAAAACAATTACTATAAGTAAAAAAAGATCAAAATAACGGTCATTTGCTTTTCCATACGCCAACTTTGTAACAATAAAACCCTCGCCACGTGTCAAAGGAATTCAAAACCAAATTTGTTATAATAATACCGAAAAATGATGTGGAAATATTATTATACCATTCAAAAAGATTGAACTCACGATGTAGAACAATAATTTAAAAAAATTTATACATTAATTAACATAAAAATAGGGCTCCGAACCGAATTAGAATATTTATGTATACTATATTGATTAGTTAAAGGAAAATACTTACGGTGCCTTGGTGGTTTATATGTAATTATCGTGTTAAGAATAAATAAATTAAATGTAATATTAATGAATATTAAGTAACAGACATTAGCCGGTGATTCGGATTGGTATTACTTTTTTTATACTATACTAATTATTGCAATAAAAATATTGTCTGTGGTCTGTAGTGATGTCGATATTAATCATCGAGAAGAAACATCGATGTTCGAAAGGAAATATCGATTAAGTCTACTGTAGAATTAAATGTCGATGCTAAGTCGAAAATTTCAATCTAAAAGACCAAATGATTGTTGCGAAAACAATCTAGAATCTATTGGCCTAATAAATAAAAAACGAACTTGGCCTTCAGAAAATACATCGATGTTTACTGTCATATGTTTTCTTTCATACATAGGTACGTAAAGTATTTATGGTCAGAGGTTACAAATTTCGAGAATCGCCTATAATGTAAATCGCAGTATGTAATTGTGATTATAAGATTGATTACATGAATCAGTCAGAATCTTCATGCGAGTTATTGGGTTATTAAATAATCATAGACTTTGTAAGCACTTGTTTTGCTATAAGTATACCCAGTTAACTGAGGTAAATCCTCCATTTCACTATCATTATCACTAAACAACTCTTCAAAAGACATTTTAGATAATAAAATTATGAAATCAATCCTTAGTCGTAATCTTAAGAATTTTTAGGATTCCAAGTTAAAAAGTTTTGCTGATATATAATAACGTCAAAATTTATATAATGTGGATCAATTATTTTATTTTATTATGCAAGAAATATCCCTTAACTACATATGTTAATGCAATATCCTAGATGCTCAAAGATGGATCGCCCGAAAATATTGAAATCCATAGATATATTCTTTCTTTAAAACTGGATTGAAATTAAATATTGGATTTTGAATGAATGAAAAATCGCGAATATCTGTTTTAGCAGTAAAAGAAAACTAGGACAAAAAAATAACAAAACAGTTTGCCGTTGCCACAATTTTAGTAATCGTTCTATTAGACAATCATTCATAAGTATTATCGAATATCGAATAATCGTCAAAAGTAATGAACGCCCTAACTCAAATTAAAAATGATGTCATACATACTGTGACACATACCTAACCTGCATTGTATTTGCTTCGGGTAGTCATAATTATTTTTGTACTGTTTATGTATTTAGTTTGAAATAATTATTGAGTTTCGATTAGTTGGTTAATACTGAAAAGCACATATTGATTATACTAGAGAAACGCGCTTATAGAAAAATATATCTAAACTAAAAATTTTAGCCTACTATAAATAATATTTTTATTAATACAAAGAAGAATTAAAGAATTTTAAATTCAATATATTGGAACCCATAAAAGTGAGTACCTAGCTATATTCTTATATTCTACAGAGAAAATACTTTTTTTTTGTATAAATACATATATTTTTTCTTTAATTGAAAAATTAACGTAGTTTGATGGTTTGTATGTACATATAACTTCTTTTTAATTATTTCTGTGTATGGATAAGTAGGTATAAATAATAAGTATAACTATTATTACAATTATTTTTAGTAACAATAATTCATAGCAATTATTCGCAGTATAGAGATGAGAATCGAATGTCATTTGAATTGTTTTGTAAACACGATGAATAGCTATGTGGGCTAATTATGTAACTTCGTTCGCAACGATTTTCGTATGTAACGTAGTGAAAATGACGTCATCTGTCAATAATGCGATCATATAGACGCCATTTGACGCTGTCAACTAGCATTGCAACGTAAACGCAACTTTACATATCGATAAAAATTATTTCTATCGAATGTCGATTTAGTAACCTCGTTGCAACGTCACGTAATCGCTATTTTGCCGAAATGACAGCGTGGAATTGAAACGGTTTTTACATTATGAGAAACAATTTAGAAGGTGTTTCTTTTGGTTACAATCTTTAAAATATCAGCATTAGCAGCATTATTTATCTTGTTTTGGTAATTTTCAGTATTACATATATTTTTATTATATTAAATATTACGTAGAAAGTCGTGAAAAGGTTTTAAATTTATTAAAATGGGAAAATTGTCACGACTCACAACACGACATCAGTGTTGCCAATTCGATATTTTATTTTCGTCCCAAATCACATAGAATGTTGTATTAACTAGAGTAAATGTTTAATATAAAATTAGGGTTGATTATGATATTAATATAATTAAAAAACTATTTCAATGAATACGGTGCTCTGTGAACGGAATACAACGTTTATGATGCTCTGTGATTTGTTTAAAGTAAATAAATTTATTTGTTTAAAGTTTTTACAATTATGTTCAAATTTAAAAAGATGTGCCCATATCATTTTAAATTTATATGGATACCTACGTACTTACCTAGGTATCTATAGCAGAAAAGAAAATTTAATTTGTAGGTTAGATTAATATTATTAATGATTATAAATAGTTTGTATAAAATATGCTTTTATATTCAAAATTATTAACCTTATTTTTTCATTAGAATAGAATAGACTTTCTTTATTTTATTTTATTAAATGTCTATTAATAAAATTAAAATAAAAGAACAAGTGAACTCTGCAGTATATTTTGTAATTTTTGAACGCAATAAAAATTGTTTCAAATCAACCAACTAGTGTAACAACCCAATAAATTAAAATGTATCCCTCTAAAGGTATAAGCTATCTAATGTACTGACTTTTTAAATTGGTCGGATTAACAATATTCCGCTGCAACTTCATAGTAGTGTTTTATCGATAGAAATTATTTATGTTGCGGTCATTCGACCTTACTTGATCGCATTTTTTAAATTGAAATGATTTCATATTGCATCACAACTTCAACAGAAACAATTTCATATCGTGTTACATAATTAGCCCAATGGTTATGAATCGAATCGAATGAAACCGATGTGATTATTTCAATATAATAACAACGTGTATTATACATCAAATTGGAAATTCATGACATTGGTCTATTAATTAATCAATTAAAACATAATATCTATTTAACATGGCTCGGGAATTTCAAACAACTCATTTTACCCAACAGAGTGAAATGACAAATATCAAAAGATTAAATTTCTTTAATTTACTTACTTTGTGTGGATTAAAACTTAATTATAATTCACTATGTTTGCAAATTGAACATTTATGTTAGGGGGCGTCCATAAATTACGTGTGGTGTTTTTTTTTTATTTTTCTATCCCTGCCTTACATCTCACCGGGGGGGTGAGATGTAAGTTTTATTCAACCGTCTCCCCCAGCCTACAATCTCACATGATATTTTTCAAAATGTGGTTTTCTTACGAAAACGCGTTGGAATGTTATTGTAAAAAGAAAAAAATTGCTTTGTGCTATTATGTAGGTACTCACGTAATACCCACTAAGCTCGTACGCTCTCGATCATCAGTCGCGCGTTCCGCTGGCAGTGGCGCGAAAACGTCGAAGTATGAATGAAATTATTTTCATTCGAACGAAATAGCCTATGTCCAGCAGTAGACGTCTTCCGGGCTGCGATGATGATGATGATGATGAAAGAATTAGTTAATGATCTTAATCGTATTACGATTATAACTACGCTTAAGATTAAATCTTAGGCATGTACAATTTGGATTAAATGGGCCAAAATAGTATAATATTTTTTGTTTCAATCAGAAAAAAAATTGCGAGATATTTGCAGAGACCCCCCCATCTCGCCAACGTAACTTTTTTTTTTTTTTGACTCGACCCCCCCCCCCCCCCCCCTTAAATATTTCTCATAATTTGTGGACGCCCCCTTATGTGCCTAAACATAATCATATTCATTTCTTAAAGTCTAACGTCACTAAATATGTGTATAATAAAAACTTGTTTATATAAGTTATTAAAAACTAAAGTTTAGACAATACTACAATTTAAAAAAATCAATGAAAGTATTTATTTTAGTATGTAGGTAAGGTTAAAAATATTTTTTTTTAATGAATGGTTTTTAATAATAATTATTGTTTTTGTTAATCAAAAATAATGTATTACTTACTTCACTGCGCACGTATCAAGCATGTGTATTAACATATCTGCTTGGTTATACTTAAATCTGTTTTGTAAAAATTAAGTTAAAACCGGCACACATAGAATTATCACAAATAATGTATTATTTTTTTTAAAGCATCCTCAACATAACTTAAAAACATTGGTTAAAAAATTGCTTTCTTTGTTTTCTTCCGTATGGACTGTCTTTTCTTTACTATTTTGTTATGTTCCTTTTTCTAAAGTCTTCTGTTCTATTCTTTTACTTTTAACTATTGATTTTTTTTATTGTAATATTATCGCCTTTATTGAAATTAATTCAATTACGTACCTACTTACTTAAAACTCACGTGTTTATATCTTTTAATTGATATTTTATTCACAAATTTTGCTTTTTGTTAATTCTAGATGGCGATAATACCAATACAAATGATACATGGTGAGAATCTAGGAAAAAGACATAAGCGCCTTAATACTTTAGTGAACGAGGCTTTCGCAAACAATATTCCCTTTGAATCTCTCAAAGGTATTCAGGAGTCTTCTCCAGTTGATAGACTATTTAAAATAGATCTTGCTGCGAAATACCGTAACGAAGATTATATATTCGAGATGTTAAAAGATGATGACTTGCTTTATGTTAGTAGAGCTCTGAAATGCAATTGGCTTGTGCAAGATTCTAAATATTCAAGTATAATAAACCCGATCTACTTAGAAAATGAATTATTTCCTGAAATGCTAACTACATCTGTTAATAAAATGAAACATTGGATATCACTAAATTTAAAAGACCAAATCAGATGTCAGGAATTTTATCAGTTCTATAAAGAAAAAGATGAAAGATTTGCTTTGAAGCTCCTTTCCAAATGTTCACCTGATTTTTTCTTAAAGGAAATGGCTACGATCCCTATACAAAAAATAACACCACACTTCTTAAAGTTGCTTTGCGAACATTGGCCCAAAACTGCAGAAATTCATTTAAAAAAAGTAATCGAAACCATGACAAATACAAAAAGAGGTTATAGGCAATCGACGAATACAAATGGTTTCCTAAATTGTTTGCAATTTCTTCTGAAAACCGATCCAGACACATATTTCTACTTAATCGAGAACATTTATGATCAAAAATTCAAGCGGCTGAATAAAGACGCTACAAAATATATTATGAGAAACCACAGAGGTAGATTTGACTCTAAACCTGAATTGTACACAGCACGTTTACTGAATACAACAGCGTTAGCAAAATTTTTGAATAATGAGGAAATAAAAGAGCTCGTTATAAAATGTGCAAGAGCAGAATATTTAGGTTATGACTGGTTCTCATACAAGTTTGCGAAGCCTTTAGTGAAGTTTATGAAACAAGCTGAGAAATCGTCTTTCTGTAAACAAATATTCAATGAAAAATCTTTTGGAGAAAGCATTACAGAGCCTCCTTACTATATACCTTCTATGCCCCAAAGTAGAGAACCTACCGAAGATTTAGGTTCTGATGTATCTGAGAGAAATTACGATCAATATAATCTTCTGTATGGCAAGTTGTACAGAACGGAATATTGCACGATGTCAAAGAGATGTGGCATCAGGTTGCGTACATTACTTGACCAATTATTCAATCAGTATAGATTTTGTTATTTCGACGAGACTTTCGCAGAATTGAGTTCACGTATTCCAAGAGAAAGTGTACTTGAAAATCGTCAATACATGTTATTGGTACTTGTTAGCAAGACTGGTGGACGAAAAGAGCATTTGGAAAAGTTACTCCATTTGTTAGTTACGAAACACAGTAATGAGCCTGTTTCATTACGAGCTGCTATCGTACGTAGTCTAGCGAAGCGCGCTTGTGTGTGGCGTTTAGAAAGTAGCAATTGGGATATATTGTTAAAATTTGGCCATGATCTAGGACTCGATGGTAATCCACCATCAATTATATGTCGTGAAGGTTTACATGCTGCTGTGCTCCATCATATTCTTCAATCTCAAAGTTGCCCTCTTCCAGTATTATTATCATTTCTTAAAGAATTTTCTTCTCTTAATGAATATACATTAAACAAAGAAGAAAAAGTACTTGTACTCAAATGTTTGCCTAAATTGTTATTAAATGTTGTAGAAACGGAAACTGATAAGGCGACGGAATGTCTTAATCATATTCTAGATTTTTTGACGGCCTTCCGGTTTCCCATAAGAGATTGTCCTGGGATTGTATCATCTATTGCTTCTACATATAGACGCGATCCATCAGGCTCAAGTGATTTGCTGAAACGCTTATATCAGGCCAGAGTAGCACGCAAGGAACTCTACAAAGAAAATTTTGAAGTAATCCAAACTGATAGATCTTATCTTAATGCTTTACGACATGATGTTCTGATATTATCTGGAGACCATTTTGAAAAGTTTCTTACAGCCAAGAAACCACTGTGTCCTGAACATTTCTTACGAAAATTAACTATATACTTCAGTAATGAGAATGAGATTATTAATCACTATCAGAAGTTTCTCATGCATGTATTAGAAACTAAACCACATGTTAAATTGGCACGCATTGCAGCATTACTTGGCAACATAGGTAGTACACCAATATGGCCAATATCAATTACTACATCCTCAAAAACACAAAAGCAGGTAGCAAATGCCTTAGGCCATGTAACTCATTTGATTAGACCATATCTTATCAAAGAAACTGCAAAGGTAAGTGTTACATTTATAAACTTTTAGTTAATTCAACATTTACAAACGTAAAAGAATTTAGGGAATCTTATGTGATAAGTTGTTTTATGTAATTTGAATGGCCAACAAGCTGACGGCTCACATGGTAGTAAGTGACAACTTTTTACAAAGAATACTTGCCTAAATCGGAAGATGATATAGTGAGCAAAGACCACTTAAATCGTTAATGACATTAAAATACATACTTTATATTATTATATTTAAATGACTGTAACTTTATTTTAGGGGGATAATTTAGTCACCGTAGCAAACTGGATTCATACATGCAGTGAGAATTCACTACGTAAAAACATACCGAAACTTCTGTTGGAGCCACGGCACGCGAGGCTAGTACTTGCGTTACGAACACCAGGATGGCCAGGACTTATTAGCCAAACAATGTTAGAAGCCACTAAAAGTCAACCCACGAAAAGTCTTCGTGTAACGATCCGCGTATTGAAACAACACGGTGACCATTTCAACAAACAGGACTGGGATACTTTCAATTCTGTGTTAATGACAATTGATTTGAAGAATAAAAAACAATATCTATATAGTGAATTATCTGAACTGAATGCTATATCAAACAGTTGTAGATTAGATTATTCAATAATTATGTATGAAGTGCTAGAAAAAATAGGGTTAGGTTCAGAGAAGGGACCTTCTTTCATTAGCGTTCTTTCATTGTTGACGTACATATATGATTACATTGACAAAGTAAATGTGGAATACATAAGGAGAATTGCAAGACAGTTCTTAGATAATTATTATACAACTGATAAAATAGGAAGTGATGACTTTAAATATTCATTATACGCATCGATTTTTGTGCAAATTATTGCCAGATTCCTATTGCTAAATGTAACTGAGTTACAGCAAAAAGAGAGTTATACAGATATCGGATATCCTTTCTTAAAAAAAACTTTACAAGCTTTCAACGCGTCGAAGGAAAAAAATAAAGTATTAAAAATTCTAATGTTATTTGTATACAGTTTAAAATATACAAAATCGTTTTTAGATCCTAAATCTTGTTTATATGCATTAAAACCTATTGAAAATTTCTTTAAAGAATCTATACCAATGGAAAAGAGTTTTGGAGTAAACTGTCAGTTGAGATTCACTATTTTGTATGGTGATACGTTAAAAAAATGTGTAATAGAAAAACCAGATTATTTCCAAGGTGGAAAATTCAAAAATATTGAGTCCGTTCAGTACGCAGCGGTTTCGTTTGGTAAAACAGTTGCAATAGATATAGAAGAGTTAGTTGTTCAATATTTTCAATCTGTTAGAAATATGTATAACAAAGTATTGATAAGTTTCTTGAAAGAGAAAATAGTGCGGCCCATTCCAGAAAAGTATTTCATACCGTCTTTTATAAATGGATTGGTACACGATAGAAGTAAAATAAATGGGGTATTAGCTGGAGTCTTTATTTATCACAACTTCTGTTTTGAAAAAGAAGTTAAAGAAAAATTAAAGGAAGAAATTCAAAGTATCGCAAACTGTTCGGACGAAGTCAAATATTTCTTAAATTTTAAATCCAACTAGGATAAATATTATTAAATGATACTAAGGATCATCCCACAGCCATTGAATTGTCGCAGTTCTTCTTCTCTTCTGTATCACATGTACATATAAGTGTATTAAAGGAGAACTATGAGAATTTGCAAACTGAACGGTCGATCCATTAACACTGCTAAACACCTACTTTTAATCAAGTGCATACTTCTTATGAATTAGTAGTATTTTCATACTTTTCTCGCTTCACTAATATTTAATATGTGCTCTTAACATATAAATACATTAAATATAGTAGTATAAGTATTAATTAAAACTAATAGGCATATTACATGTACTTGAAATAGCAATATTTGTTTTAAACAAATAGCATTATTCGGTATAACCGTAATAGTTATTTTTGCAATATACCTATATAAATGTTTAAAAAATAAGTTAATATATTGTTTAGTTATTTTTAAATAATAATGTAAAAAGAATAGTTGTTTTATTTCATATTTATATATCCTTTATAATGATAGCTCGTCTGCACCATACTGCATCTCCTAATCCCGTGGGAATTACAGCAGCTGACTTTGAAACACCATCGAATAAAAAAAATAAACAAATTATGTTAATCGATGTGAACTAAACATTATAATTTATAAAACAGAAATAACAATTTATAAGCGAACTAAATAATATATGTGTGTGAAGTAAATCTACGTTAATATTGTTAGAAGGTTACTATTTATATATAAAATGTTAAATTAATAAAAAAATTCATCTAATTCTATGGTTTTAATGGATGCCAGTAACTCATGTCAGTGTTTTTGCTGGCGTGCACAATAATGGTATATTTTATTATTAATATTGTAAACGCGAAAGTATGGATGGATGGATGTTTGTTACTCTTTCACACAAAATCTACTGAACTACTGAACGTGAAACTAAAGTTTTATCAAAATGATGAATCTTTACAGTATACATTAGAATAACACATAGGCATAAACTTCAAACTTACACATTTGAATCTCTATAAATATGAAACTGAAATGGATAGCCCACAGGTTATCATGATTTCAAATTGATACGGATTAATTTATGTGTACCTACCTTAACAAAAAAATCTTTTAAATGTTATTAAATTTTTTTTTAAGAATCATTCTTAATTTCGACATAATAGAAGTGTTCTTAATTAAGAAATAATTATAAATAGGTATATATATATTATTTAAAACATATTAAAACACACCTATTAGGTACAGCAACAAAAACTAAGTTGTTCTGGTGACAGCGCAGTAACATTCTAATTGTTTTCCTTTCCATTAAGACATTTTTCACTCCTTCATGGCTATAATTATTATTTTTCTTTTTTTTTTACACATTTATTATAGTCCTATTCATAGTATTCATATACATCAAATTAAATTATGGTATCTCGGTATTTATAAAGTTCTGGTACTCTAACTGTAATTCCTACTTTCCAAGTTCTTTTATTACTTATTCATTTCACATTATTTCGTTCAGTTCATTTTAGTTTATTAAAAAAAAATATACAAGGTACATTATTCACCCTCGAGGACATAGCTGAAAATCAGTGTTTTGCTCCTTGAGTGATTCTCCACACTGAGCTATGTACCAATTTTGTATTGCTGTAGCACAAACATGCAGGTTTACCCTTATTGAATTGTTATATTGTAGGTACTCATTTGATGTTATAATTAAGCCTGTATGTGTGTACTAAGATACAAATAAAAACTATTATCTATCTATACTTTGATACCGCGATATTAATCCAGTAAAATTTTAAATTAAACCATGATGTATGCATGTTTGTCGCAGTATTACCTATACTGCGACAAACATGCACACATGGTATAAGTATCTACGCAAATACGTGACTAATAATATTAAAAAATAATTTTGAGTTAAGTTGACGGGAAAGGGATGAAAAATTAAAAAAAAGCCGTTATCGATTTATGTTGAAAATGCCTTTTTTCAAAATAACTCGATAACGGTAAGAAATATGAAAAAATGTTTAAATTAAAAGTTGTGGAAAAAAAAAGTTATGCACAAAACAGATTCTCTTATTTTTTTTTTAATTATTTGCTGTTGTTTAGCCACATAACCAGACAACCACATTGTGGAATTACCTTATAGCAATGGTATTACCGAACCGATACGATATTAAAACCTAAAAAAATAGTCTATTTTGGTTGGCAACGTCAGTTGCAAATTCTCCTGGTGTTGCGGATGCTCATGGGCGGCGGTAAACAGTCACTTACTATCAGGTGACCCACAAGCTCGATTGTCATCTATGCTATAAAAACAAATATGAAATGAATACGTTGCTAATATATAATGTAATTCGATAGTATTAAAAATGCCAAACACCGCAATCCCATGTCATTGGATCGGAATTAGTTTCTGAAGTAAACTGGCAGATATGGCTTCAATACACCAGTTGAACGCAACAAAGCCGTCAAAACGCTACATATCGATGCAGTTCTGCGGCGATCAAATCACCAATCATCGATTTCTCTGTAGCTACTGTAATGACTAGGTATTGTAATAACCATTCGTTGTAACCAACTCAATACCGGCTACCCCTCTGTCAATATTCCCACAGACTGTACTCACTGCAAGAACACAGAATTTTTCACTTTAACGTTTCTTATTAAAGTCGTTATTACGATTTTATATATGTTACGAGGTACTTGATAACTACAACATATTATTGAATGTGTTATGACTGATTGACAAAGGCTGTTTCACTGAAACTGGAATAAAAAACACTTTCACTAGACATATTTTTATTCCTATTTTAATAGCTTTTCTGTTTTCAGCATTGACTTTTGTATTGTTCTCAGAAGACACCTATCGATATATTCCGAGTTTAATCAAAGCTGTTCACAAATGACAAGTAAACACAGAACGATATACTTGGTGTCTTAGAAACGAACGTGATCTGAGTTATTTCGTAGTTGGCAGTCAACGTGTTGATGAGATTTGATCCTGAGATAGATTGCGTCTATTACGAAATTAGACATACAGATATGTTCTCTATTTTCTCAAAAACAGTACAAGAAGCTGGATACAGTTACTTGTTAATACAATTATTTAAGCACATAGCATTTCCTTAAGGTGGCCCGCCTGGTCGTATACAGCAATAGCTTTTGCGTTTGAATTTCCAGTGACCATAATGATCATAGCATTTCTCAAGGCGTTCCCGAAGATTTATTTCACTCTAATTTCACAAACGAATAATCTTTATAAATCATCATCATTACATAGTATAAAACAAAGACGCTGTCGCTGTCTGTCCCTATGTATGCTTAAACCTTTATAACTACGCAACGGTTTTTTAATAGATAGAGTGATTCAAGAGGAAGGTTAATATATGTAATACATGTACACCCGTGCGAAGCCGGGGCGAGTAGCTAGTAACAACATAAAATTCACAAATACTTATGTCAAATTGTAAACAACATAATATTCAAAAACACAGGGAAAAAAGCAAGCTGCATTGTATAAGATGGATACGATTTTGTACGAGTTTACCGATGTAAACATTATGAGAATAAAACTAGTATACCTACTTATACTAATATTATAACTTGTGTAAATAAATGTTTGTTAAGATTTTTCGATGTTTTTACGTTTAACAAGAGTTAAGGATTTTGATTATAGTGGTATATGGATTACTCAGATCATTGCTCCTAGGTTTTTAAGTATACTTTTTTAAAATTCAGATGATGAAAACCTAATACAGGTATAGGTATAATTAATACTTATTTGTAAACATAAAATAATTTGGTATAGCAATGATAACAAATTAAACCTACTGAATTAACTGACAATGTCAGGTAATGCTTAACGTTTAACCCGCCGTGTTAAGCGGTATTAGCGTTACCTCCCTCTCCAATATTTGCAGGTTCGATTTCCACATAATACAAAGATTTGTACTCCCGAGGAGTATGTCTGTTTGAATTAGTGAGTGTATCGTTGTAATATATTAGATACGTACATATTTACAGTAACATTTGTTTAAACATTAAAGCAGTATAAGCTCAGGTTGGAACAAAATATTTTAACAGGCTCTTTGTGATTTTCTAGTCATACTTATTTAATGTCTAAATTATTTTAAGCGACAATATTACAATAAAGACAAAATATATATAAGCAAACCCAAAACTAAAAAAATATTATTTAATTAATTATGGTGCAATGTGCATACATCGTATAATGACACGGGGTAGGTATCGACTTTTCCCCACACCCATTCAAGACCACCCACCCTATCACCTACTGTAGTGATGTAACTGAAAAATATCGATACCTATTAGAAATGATAAAATGTACTGATATAAGGTTACATTATAATATATATGTTGGTATATACATACAGCATATACATACCCATTACAGTGTTACGGACAAATAGAACTGTATTTATTTACAGATGTCATCGATTTTGCAAAATGTATAATACCTGAAATACTATTAAATTAGTCAACATTCTTTTCTCAATATTGTCAATGTAACCTATACGCTTTGTATCTTTCTACTCTGTTCCTTCTCTCAGGATATGTTCATCCTAAGGCATAATAGAGTAATGGAAATTCGTTACACGACGTATTGATAGTTACAACTTTACAATCACCAAATGGGATTTTAAATACTTTGATGTATTTTATCGTTTTAAATATTTTTGATCTTAATGAAATCTTACGAATGGATATATTTTGGGTGTAATTTAAAGTTTATTTTAAACTACAAACATATTATTATGAATAAAAAAAGTAATATGTTACTATTTTTATTCACAATAAAAAGTAATCAGGTATGTATCCATAATATACCTACAATTGTAAATAGAGACGTGTCAACGTTATTTAAGTATATAAAAATAGTTGCTTAGAAAATAAAGCCATGTAGTATTAGATAAGATATAAAGTTAAAATATTAGGTTTTATACTAAGTATTACATAATACCTAGCAAAGCCTTGTCAATCTCAAGACGCTCTACTACAAATATTGTATTTTAATTTGTAAAAAACCGTAGACATAAATATGTTTAAAATGAAAATTGTTCCAACTAATTGTATCGACATTGGCTCACTACAGCCCTATATTTCGTATCATTTTCCTACTTTCCCTAGTTAGAGTTAGTCGGTCTGCAACGCTTCGTCAAGGCGCTTTCGTGTCGAAGCTAGCCGCTTTACCGCGTGAAAATAAGAACCCTTCGGTTTATTGTCACGCGATATTAAAAAGAACAATTAAAATATTGAACATAAAAATGTGACTATAAATACTATTTCTGATGCAATGCAGTCCGGATTCTATTGAGGTATGTATTACTTTATTTTAATTAAACAAGTAGAGTCGTTAAAAATACTTGATATTTTTAATGAATCGCACGATGGTAATCGAAAGTGACTAGGTTTTAGTAAATGTTAACGTGTTGCAAATTATTTTACACAAAGAACAGTAAGAGTTTATTATACAAATATGTATTAAAACTTTATATATCTGTACCTGTTGTAATAATTATACTCTTAAATTATTTTTGTAATACATCGTATTTATTATATAATATTTCATTATTCTACAATACATTATATCAAATGCGTTATTTTTAACATTTTGAACAAGGATATTGTATCAACAGGTAGTTATATTAATAAATTATACGTATGTTAAAAATTATATGAAATAATATAATTAAAACTAATATAGAAATGTCATCAAATATAAGAAAAAATATTATAATTGGTATTTCGTACTACTCAGAGATAAATGATTAAATTTTTAGTTTTTTCATATGGTGTGAAATATATCATCTAATGTGTCCTCTTTATTTTAAATCCTTACAATTTTTAGGTATTATTTTTATAAATACATATTTAGTGTAATTTCTATATCAAAAGTGTAAGGCGAATCTGTAATATATAAAAAAGACTTTGACAATTGTATACAAATATTTAAAAAGTATGAAAAAAGGGGTAATTCAATCTAGAAACCGATTTTTCAAAACATCTGTTACAGATTAGTTTTTAATGTAATCAAATAAGTAAATATACACACCACGTTATCACGGCAGGTACTCTAAGATAGAGATAGATCTTATATCTTATATAAATATTTTTGAAATTTGTTGAAATTTAAACAAATACACACGCAAACAAATATTTGTGTTCTGCAGAAATCGAATCTTAAATAATCGCATGGTAAGGCAAAGAATTGTATACTAATCAGGAAAGGTCATTAAAGGCTTGAACAGAATGTTCGGTATTGAATACATAATGTTCCGGATTAATATTATGTAGGTAGCAAATAGTGTTAAAAATGTAATAAAAAAACTCTGTGGCATGGTAAAGCAAAATCTAGCGTTTATAAAACTAAATACACTTCTCCATGAACCTTTCATTATATCTAAGTCACAACAATATAATAGGGCAGTTTCTACAAATAGAAAAAATAAATCATAGTAGCTGTTATTCGCGGTAAGGTCTTCTTTTTTTTTTAATAAAAAACATTTTGTAAAAGTTTGTCATGAAATAATTTATAAAAGGACAAATATTTTAATGGTTGCAGTACGGTGATATAAAAAAATATTTTATTTTATGTCACATTACTGTCTGCTGTTGTCATAGGGGATCTAGAGGAAGATGATAAGATGAACATGAAGTCAGGTAAGGCTAACTGACCTGACATCATGACAAAATCACCAGGAATTATCATGATTCTTTCAAGGGGGAACCGCGTGGAGGTCAAACTAACATGGTACATTACTAGCAATGAGTTTATTAGTCCACATTAACAATCCCCTTCCTACAGGGACATATTGATTGACCGGGATAAAAATTAGACTATCTAGAGCAGGTTCTATGCCAAATGTTACGTGTACACCAAGTTTCATGACGAATGGGCGAAACAAACTATTCTATATCTATTTCACAACTATAACATGCTAGTCCGTATGGAATACAGCATATACTGCCTACTGGCATAAGTTACAGGTTAATGAATTTTTAAAACGTGTCCATGTTTGCGATCGCCAATAGCCATTTAATATATTTAAAAATAAAATTATAAAATTCAACATTTAAACATTACAATATTCCTCCAGCAAACGTTTTGGTTCTCGTGTTCTATGATATGATTTGATAGATACATTATTACTGTCGTCTTCGGTACCATACGATAATTTGAAACTTAAGAGATTAGAGAAAATTTTCAAATTATTAAGAGTTTAAAATTATTGCTGTTCAAATAACCAAGAGAGAGGGAAAAAGATCAAGTAGTCTGTAATTTTCTGTTGAGTGAGTTCAGTTTATTATTTTAATAATTAATTTTTGATAGTGTTGTGAGTAATAAAGAAATTGCCACTGTAAATAATATGTAATAACACAAACAAATAATCTGTGCAAGATAAACGCTTCAAATTAATAACAGAATGGAAAGTTTTCACTTCGAATTATTGTATGTAGTACAAATAATAGAATACTGTTTTTTCAATTTTAAATTACAGATAGGATTAATTAGTATTTCTTTTACTTAAAGTACCGACTACTTTATAAAAAAATGTAGAGATTCAGATTAATATGAAAGCGTAGCGGTTTCTGTATTGATTGGCGCATGCATTCTTATGTGAAATATGAATACTATAACCATCAGATGGCAATTGTGAGTTTGAGCTATGACGTGGTCTGGTGTTTTGAGTAGTCATGCTCACTAAAATGTCCAGACTTGTGGCGGCGTGGTGGGCCGGGTCATTGGGCTCCCTAAAATATGGTCGAGCGCAGTGGTGGCTGGCTTATCCGTCATACTCGTGAACGGGTGCTGCTTGTTAACCAGTTGTTGTGTATTGAATGTTTTTTCTATTTTATTATTTCATTGAATTAGTGCTAATCGGTAGTGTGTGAACACTTAAACTTAAATTGTAAATAAGAATAAATTATTTAAAAGAGTAACACACAAGTTTCTTGATTGTTCTTCTTGTGATGAGACAGCATTCCGAATGAACGGTAGATTAAAAAAAAATGTTATGACTATTCAAAAGTGCTTCAATGTAAGTTTATTTGAATAAATTATTTTCTATTCTATTCTATTCTAATAAGCGTCATATTATCGGGAATCGACTATATGTACTTTAATCATTCTTACTCACAATTTACTAATTGTTTCAGATTATATTAAGTACCTGGGCGACCAGATGAGCAGTTTCAGTGTGACCAGGAGCAGATTAAGGCCACGAAAATTGCTCCCCACGGCAGCCCGGCGCGCGCCTACATCGCATACCACAAGCTCGGCGCAGCGATGGAACCCCAAACAACCACGCCGCAGACAGAATGCGAATGCGGTGTGCATCCATCTGTATTTTACCTGCTGGCAACCCTGTTACTTACCAGGTATCTTTTTTTATTAAGTAAATGGAATACAACAAATTCGCTGACGGCCTACATGATGATAACTGCTTACAGTCGCTTATAGGTGGGAAGGGGATTGTTAGTAATGTGGTTTAATAACCCTATTGCTAGCAATTACCATGTCAGGTTAACCTGCACGCAATTACCCCTAGAAACCATCATGTTAAATTCCTAGTGAATTTGCTTTGATGCGATAACTGACCTCACCTAATACCTAGGTACTCATCTTATCATCCTCCACTGGTGCCCCGCTAGCGTATACCGTTAGCGCAGGCGAGTACATCTTACCATTGTAAAAAAAGTCGCTTATATACATAAATGACTATCATGTTATCATATGTAGCGCGCGGTTCATGCTTTGCCATTCGGTAGGACGATAATCTCAATCAGTTGAGGCAATTTACACTTATCAAATATTGTAATTAATATTATATTTTTAAAATAAATCCAAGAAATCTACACCCTATCATTGGTTGAAGCACATATCATCTGGTATCATCCGTATTCTGTAATTTCAGTGCCTTATCTCAACCTTCTTCCAAAACACAACTTACAAAGTAATCTGCCTGGCAGCTGAAATAGGTGAGACAGAGGTATCCGTTTGTACAAAGTTTACCTCGATAAATGTTCTTTTAAGTATAACATTAAATGTAGTACTTTCTGTACATAAATATAGCTGTATGTTCCCTTCTTGAGTGACGTTTCGCGTTGCTACCTAACTAATAAAACTCGAAATCCTCGCACGTACGTGACTGGATCCTTAATAAGTTGTTCTATAGAAATAACTCCCTGAATAAAATATATATCTGGAATAAGTAACGTACCTATATATTTGCCTGGCAATTTTTACTTTTCTTACTATTTCTACTTACAAAATGTTAAGCTTATTACTCTGTCAAAGATTATTAGGAAAGCAACCCCGTATGGCTTTGGCCAGACAAGGGATTTTCAACATTTTTATTTCAGACACACTCACACTACTTGATCACTAGGTTATTTTTTTAAAATATTGAAATTGATTAATGCAACTGTTGAGTTTCTAGTCAGTTCTTCTCAATCAACAAGTCACTTTCATCTGTAGCTAGTAGAACGGGGCGGTAGAGATAGTGATAAAAAATTATGACGTACATAAGAGGCCAATATGTCCTGATGTTAAAAATAGTAGTCCAATTCGTGCTAACTCTAGTGTTTATAGCCAATAGCAATATTAATAGAAGTGTATATTGGGATAGTAAAATACTACAAGGCTCTCCATATACAAGCAATTATTATTCATATAATATAAGTAATCGAGAACAGCAGAGGCGCGGCATGTTGTTGTCAGGTATTGATGTAGGTACATCACTGATTACAAACTGATAACACCCCGCTGCAAAATATTATTTGTCATTTGATTAATATAAGGTAAGGTTAGGAGTGAAAGCGTAACAAACAAACAAACACACTTCCGCATTTATATTAGTTAGTTATCAATATCATTAGTAGTTAGGATGATATGAAACCCTTAAATCAGAAGTTATTATTAGCTGTCAAAAACAGAATTCAGTGAAAACGACTGTTGGGCTATTGGGATCTTGATTGAAATAAAATAAAGAGTAGATAGGCATAGTTCCTAATGGCTGCCTGTGCATAAAGTTAGCCGTTTTGATAAAATGATAGACTTGATATATTGTGATATTTTCTGTGTTAAGAATGTGTGTTGTGCCTTTGAGATTCCTTAAATGCCTGAAAATGAAATGAAATTATTTATTTGTAAAGTATTGGTACAACAGATAAGTAGCTACATAAGGAGTAATTGAACTGTAACATTCCCATTTACAGGCATGCAATTATTAGCCTGCCATCACACAAAATATATTTTACCAAGCCATTATTTTTTATTTATATATTAAATATTATTTCTAATTTTAATAATACATCCAAAGTACACAAAACATCCAAAGTAATAAAGTTTGATTACTAATATTATTATTTGAGGTCAAATTGAGAAGGGCTGTAGTTAGGTGGTTTTACCCTGCTCTTTTTCTCCTTTAGCTCCTTTCATGAAATTTCGTCAACCAAAAGCTCTTATCTTGAAATTGCCTCTCGATAATAATGATAAACGTAAAAGGAAGTTATGAAGCGAATGTTTTTATAGAGATTTTCTAACGGCCTGGCAAAACTAAGAGATTCTTACTAACATAGTGTTTTATTTTTCGTTAAAATTGACCATTAATTAATCTGATTTCTATTTTATTTCTGTAGTTAATTTAAAGTTAATTCTCGATTAAGTCTTGAAAACCACAATAATTACTAGTGAACTAATATATTCACAAATCAGTTTTTTTTAAATCCCTATTTTTTGTAATCCATAACCATGTCTTAGGGAAACGTATTTCATTTTTAATAGCTTCGCAAATTTCCATATTGAACCACAACGTCGGTTCACTCTATTTTCATATCGACATTGATTTATTGAAAATATCCAGCATCCCAATTTATTTTGTAGTCCGACGCCATCTCGACCCTGATCTGAATATTTAGGTGTCTACCTGAATACCTATTATTAACTTTTAGCAAATTTCACTTGAATTGTTTCTTAATTACTCAATGGAAATATACGCTCTTTAAATGCAGTGTATTTAAATATTGAAACTGTCTAAAAAATATTACTACTGTAGACAGTTGTCTAGTTGGGATAGCTAACCATGGGATAATTAGATGGCAGGGACAGTGATAAAGAAATATGACGTGCACGATAGGCCGAAAGTTCCAATGTGAATATATGATTTAGACTCTCACGCAGATAGACTATATCCTACAATAGTTACATTGAAGATTATACATTGAAGAAAGATTGATATTTAAACTTGGTTTTTTACTTAATTGCATGTTTTATTTATTTTATAGGGCCATAATGGAATGGTGCTCCCACCTCAGCTAACGGTATACACTATTACGAAACCAGTGACGGATGATAGAATGAATCAGGTTAACTCATACATTCTATCACTGATTTTGACGAAATTGTGACGAATTTAACAGGATTTGACCACAAGAGTTCCCAGGGGAGATCGCATAAAGGTCACAGAAATGGTACATAGCTATGAATATTTTATTTATTTTAAATAAAATATGAATAGGCCACTGTTCCTCATTACTAACTTTACTGTTTCTCTTATGTTTCATTAGTATCTTTTGTTATACATTATCTACTGATTTATTAAAAGGTTCGAATTTGCTAAAAATATAAATGTCATAAAACACATAACTTTTTTTATCGTGTGGAAAAATCTTCAAAAGACCGTCCTCCTGTCGGAGGGGTGACGAACGTGTGTGTGGAATTCTTAGTTACTTAAATTATTCTGTATTCTTACCCTCAAAAAACCACACGATGTACCTACGAGCGCCATTGACAGTGTTATGAGGTCGCGTTTGCATTCTATGCAACAATACCTCGCGACTCTAGCGGCGATGTAGATAGGATAGGGCAGGCCCCATCTCGTTGTTAGGGCGACCAATTTCGCCCTACTCACTTGTGGAAGCATGTGGGCGGTGAACGTAAAGGTCTCCGGGACCGTTTGATTAGGGCACTGCCTAAAATATAAAGATCCCTAAGGAATTTAAAAAGGTGTTATATACCTTTTTAAATTCCTTAGGGATTCTACAGTTACAGTGCTAGCTAAATAAACAAAGGAAATGGGACTCGTACAATGAGTATAAATAACCCTAATTTTACTTATTTGAATCGACTGTAATGATACTTATAATATAAAAACAATACATTTAAAACCTTATACGACTGAGGTTTTGGGTTAAGCGAGACTGGGATAAGTATCAAGAAAAACAAAGTCTGTATTTTTATTATAAAAGTATCAAGAAAATCTTTCTAATTTTTCTTTTTTGCTATAAAAGCAAGCGAGTACCGCCTGCTGTAATAATTTCCTGTGAAAACATTATTGTATACATAATATATGAGGATATAATCTGAGTATGACCTTCTTGTGTTTACACGGTAGGATTTAATAATAATAATATATACGTATATTTAATATGCCATTAATGGCCCATTTGTTTGTAACATTTTTTCTAATTTAATGTTAATATTTAACAATCACACTTATTACAAGCACTTAAGTTCAATAATCAGTGTATCAATATTTTCAGAATCTTATACAGCATGTTCTGATCAATAAGGATGCTGTGGGCATTGTTAGTAATGTGGATTAATCACCTCATTGCTAACAATGTACCACATCAGGTTACCTCTACGTGGTCCCCCCTTGAAACCATCGTGATAAATTCTTTATGAATTTGTCACGATGGGCTAACTGACCTGACGCCATGCTCATCTGATCAGCTCATCTCCTGATGCCCTGCCACATTATCGACCCTTGGAAAAAAAAATAAGGATGCTGTTTTTTTCATAGCATGTCATAAAAGTCTCGATCTGTTCGATCAAGAGCGAATACGCCAGAAACGCGGCTGCCCCGTCAACATCCTGAAGCCTCTTATACTGTACACGCAATGCGTTGTATAACATATTTGTGTATTAGGCCACAGTTTATACATATCTTCAGCAAAGATTTAGAATTTTGAATTCAGTTACAGATTTAAATCTGACAATTGTAAGTTAGAAGATTAGTGTCAATAAGATTCAAAAATTCAATTTTGCTTCCTTTGCTTCTGGTTACAGATCAGGTACAGGTCCTCTTTTGTCGTAATGGTTCACCAGATGAGGTGGCCATCCACAAATTTGCATATAAGGATTTGGATTTAGAAATAAAGATTTCCGCAGTAATAAAAATGATAATGGTTATAAATACATACACTAGAAAAAAATTGAGAGATACATAAAATAATAATATAAAATATACAACTGATATTTCTTATATTCATACATAATATATTATCCATTATGGCCAGCATTATAAATTAAACACTACCCATAAAATTTAAATTTACTCCACACCAAGTTGTTTAGTAAATACCTCGTGTTTGCC